TAATTTATTATAGATGTGATAGTGACTATAAATACCGTTGTTAGCCTAGGGTCTTTCTCCACTTAATTCTGGCTTCGCAATAGATCTGCGAGCTAACAACTATCCAGTGTTGGGTAAATTACTTTCGATAAGAAACTAATTACATTACCGCTACCCATTACATTAAATATTTTTATTTAAATTACATTCGCGTTACCCGACATTATTTTTATCACTGTTACTTTATCATTCAAAAAGTAATGCTTAATGAATTGTTACTTTTTCAAAAGTTAACGACAAATTCAGACTATAACGAATATAATAAGTAGTAGGTACCTATACTATTAATTATTATATAATATTGTATATGTAAGACATTGATTATGTAGGTACACTATAACTATTGATAATGGATGAATGTAATACACATGAAAAAAATGAGTAAGATGTCTGTATTTTTTGTAATATTCATCATTATTATCTAAAATTTCCAGTATATTAAATACATTTTATCGATTTTTCATTTTTCTCGAATATCTTAACCCTTAGTTTATGTCATGGACTCTACATTCATAACTTATTTTAATAACGTTGAAAATAACACGTTGCTCCATATAGAAATTACTTTTATAAGGAATATCGTTACAATTGCGTTAAAATATAATGAAATTAATACAGCATTGCTGGCTACTCCGCTACTGCAATAGTAATTTGTATTTTTCGTTACGTTACTACCCAACACTGCAAGTTACAACTAAGTTCATGATCAGAACAATATATCGTGAAATAGCAAAGATATATAAATCATAAAATATCATTTATCAACCTTAGTACCTTACGAGTTATGAATAATTATATATGATTTCAACCAATAAAATAAAGTGGTGGTTGTAATGTCAGGTGCAGCACAGGCTGCAGAGGCTGCACCCGTAGGACCGCCTATGATTTTCAATATTTAAACTAGTCTTAAGTACACTCGGACATTTTAAAGAGCTAAATTTAGAACATCGCCAACGTAAAAAATTTGAACACTCTTTTTGAAAATGATAAATAAAGCCGATGTGCGTAATTTTAGGTTTTTTACCATTAGTTTTTAAAATTTTCAGCGTTTCCATAGCGTTGTCGTTTTGTGTATCGTGTACTAAATTTGTAGCTAAATTTGTAGCTAAGATAACGAGTATCCAAATTATGTTCTTGAGCCCATTACAGATTAGATAGGTAGGTGTAACCTTTTACCTTATAATATATATTATCAAAGGTACATACTAAACCGCTTATCGTCAAAATGTCACAGAAAACGCAATATTTTATTTCAGGGATTCAATTTTTACAGAATTATACCAACATAAAATATATAGGTACCTATATTTTGTATAATATTTTTGTATACTATGTTTTTAACTGTATTATTAATTGACGTAGGTATCGATCATTCTAAATATTTTTATAATTTTTTTAACAATATAATATAATATACGTATTTGTCATTAAATATTAATTATAGTTACTAATTAACGTTCAAAATATATTTGTTCAACCATTTGCATGATGTGATTGTGAGGAATATTGTAGCTGGGGATTTTTTTTCCGGGGGATTTTTATTCCGATTACCGAGTCATGGTGACATATTGAACAAATATGCATTAAAATCAACAAAAATAACCCAATTAGGCTAGAAATGCTCTAAACATAAAAAAACTTTGAAATATGCAAAAAAAAAACTCAAAATAAAATTTTAGCTGCAAACAACTCGTTACATGAAACGAATTATGTACTTGGAAAGCATTCTCTAAGATCAACCAAAAAAAATGCGCATTGTATTGAAGTCCACGCCCTAGCTAGTAGCTATTACTTATTATCGCCGATCGACATTTTATGTTTTATTGCACACAGATAATAATTTGAACCTAGACGAGTTCACGAGTAGTCTATTAGAAAATAGTCTAGTAGTCAACTTATAATAATTATTAATGTGAGACATTTTTTTTTTATAATAAAAGACGTTGGCACCGCGGAAGATCCGAAGATGTGTTCTTATCACCATCCCTGCTGTGGTGTTATCACTTTATCACTTATCTCTCCCGCAAATCGCAATTGTGTATGATCGGCTCGTGAATGTTGAATTGTTGATTGTTGAATAGGCAATTTAAATATTATTATAGTCCTGTTTTTGAAATAAATCGTTTACGTACTATTATTCTAGTTTCCAATATTTTGCCCACATCGGAAGTCTGACAGCAATATACAGAATACCAACAATTAGCGAGTAGGCGTGTGACTTTACGGCCATGTTTTGCAGAGTTCTTTCGAAATCTGGTAAGTACCTATATTATCCCTATATAGTACCTACTTGTATAATGTTCGTCTGACGGTTCAAAAAGTAATAATCGACATTTGTAATGCGAGTTGTTTGTTTCAAACATTTCCGCTCGATTCTGAAAAGCAGCTCAGGTGATTTGGGTACATATTATTCCTATTTTGATTTCGTCATTCCATTTTTATTTTCACGTTTGTTATCATGTCCAGATAGGAATCAATTGGTTATACGTCATTTTTGGTCTTTTGGACGACATTAATAATTCATGACGTTTTAATCTGTTGAATAATAGGGTAAGCATTTTGAGTTGATTCCGCAGGTACTCTGGCAATATTTTCAATTGTTTAAGCGTTTTAACAAATGTTTAGTTTTTTAACACTGTTCAATGGTGTAGGAAAAGTATTCACCTCATTAGAATGTAACGCCATACTTAAAATTGAAATGTGTGTATATATATTTTTAACTATTTATTTAAATCTGAATTTGTTGGTTTTATTTCAAATAACACAATATATTTTAACCTTGAATGTTATTAAAACAGTGAACATAAATTAACATAACATAGTTTAGTTTGACTAAGAATAGTATCTATATCAGTTCCATCGTTTTGTATAGGTAAATCTAGATTATGAAGGGTTAATTATAGTGTTTGAAGTATGAAACAACAATAAATAAAAGTATTTCACTATGTGGTGAAATATTTCACAAAAACGTGAAACATTGACATTTTTTTTAACACAAATAAAAATTCAAATTTATTTATTTTTTTAACACAATGTTCAGTGTTCTAAATTCTAATGTAAGAATTATTCATGTATAATATTGTAATCTACTTGTACCTATCATTTAAACATTAAAATACAGTAAGTTCTCGTTACAACAAACTCCAAGGGACCACATTTTTTTTTCGTTATAACGGAAATTTCGTTGTAAGGTCATTAGAAAAGCTTAATAGCTTTTCTGTAGGGGACTTCTAGGACTTTCGTTATAACGGGATTTTTCGTTGTATCGGTATTCGTTGTAACGGGAACTTACTGTATTTAAAAATGTTGAATACGATTTTAAATGTATAATACCAAAGGTTAGGTATACATATAGGTACCATACAATTATGAAGGTAATTTATGACAATTATATGTAAATATAAAACTTATTTAAAAATCAAATAAAATGTATTAAAATTCTGAAATATTTCATTTTTTTACATTTCATGAAATGTTTAGACACTAGTTAATTATAAAGTAGGTTGGTACAATTTTTATATTCTGATATTTTATATTTATTTATTAGACAGGCATGTTAGGAATCCATATCAATAAAACGTTCATACCTACCGCTAGCCTTTTTAAAAACCATCGATATTTATAGTTGATCAGGAACATAACATTTTACATATAGATAGATTTAGGTATGTAAAAAATTTTCAAGAATTTATTTACAGTTTCAAAATCGACATTTACCTAAATTACCTAGGTAATATTTGAAGTTCATATTTATTGATCAAGGAAAGAAGAAAACTTTTTAGATTCTTACTAAAAACTCCCAAATATTTTCAGAAATAATTCTCATATCAATTGGCAATCATGCTTAATATATAGCTATATAATATATCGACTGATAAAATGCAAAAAAGGACTAAGTAACATGGTGTTTTCTACAGTATAAACTTTTGATCGCACAAGTGTTCTGACCATTTAATAATGAGATATTTTGTTTTTATTTTTAAGAAAATTAGCATTTATTGACAGAAATACCCAAAGGTGGTAAGGGTAATTTTTATGGTGAGGTGGTGCTATCGACTCTTGTAAAAGCTATTCAGGCCTACCGGCAAACACATGGTGCTCGACCCTTATTATTAGTTAGGGATAATATTCTTTTCCTTCAGTAATTTGTAGATATTTTCTAAACGAGCAAAAAAATAAAGTATTTTCCTAAAAATCATTTGTTAGGTATTTCTAATTTTAAATAGGTATTGTTCTCAATAAAGAGATACAATTTTGCAATTTACCTCTGATTTTACCTGTCAATATAATCTTATGTATTTACATAACAAATAAAAAAACTTGTAACTACCTAGTAATGATCTCTGCTACTAAAATTATATTCTATGGTTACATAAAATCAATAAACAAATATAAATAACTGTATTTATTTTCATCAACAAACCTATTTTTAAGTTAATTTTAAATAATATGTACATTTATTACATTTGAGAATAAGTGCCGGACTTAAATTGTATTACTGTGTTAATATTGCATTAAAAATACAAAAGGTTTGAGTATATTATTTAGTATTTGAAACTACTTAGCCTTGTCTAGTGACTAGTATATAAGATAATTTGTAAGATAACTTTTATTTTGTGTTATGTAACCAATTCATATTTTAAATTTAAACCATGTAATTCTTATAATGGAAATAAAAATTGTTTTTTATCTTTATTTTTCATGAAATTTTCATAAACGAAGTCTGATTGATTAACTACAAAGTTAAAAAAAAAAAAAAACTGATCTGGAAAAATTTTATGTAGTCAGAAATAATCAAAAACATTAAATTGTTGTGGTTAATGCTTCAACAAAGTTCCACGAACAAAACTTTTAATATAAAAACTATTGAGGTAATATCCCTGGGTAATATTGATTATTGTTATAATTTCTTTCTTTTAGATGTGTCATGATGTGTTAAGTTTTTTACTTATATTTACAAAATGGACGCCAATAAACAATTTGATGACTTTCTGTCAAGCATGGAGAATTTCAACATAAATGTTGCATCAGAATATTTATCAAATATTAGCTATGACACAAAATATGCTGAGGACGTAATAGAATTACTTGGAAAGGGATTAACAAATGAATATTTTAAAAGTAAACCAGATTACTTCAAATTTTGTGAAGAACAATTACTTAAATTGGCAAATAATGAAGAATATCATGAGCTAATTTTTTCTTTTTTGGATATTATTGAAATGGATGATTCTAAACTATCATCATCCGTTCTAATTGTAGTAACTGTTTTGGAGAATACTGAAAATCCAAATCGAGCATCCCTAGAATATTTGTTGATTGGTACTTTTAATCGTTTATTTGAAATGGATGTCACAAATTTAAAGGAAATTTTGCCAACCATAATGCAACTTTTAATAAAATTAAAAAAACATTTTCTACTCCAACAATCAATTTTATTTTATTTTGCTAGAGTTGCTTTCTTAGTGTTGAATACTAACATTGAATCAATTGAGTATCTAAACTTATTGTCTAACATAATTTATGATCCTTTTTATTTACTTGAATATGAATTTGATGAAAAGGAAGAAAAAGAAGAAGTATTATATATTGCTTCATTCTTTTATCTATACTTTAAAACTGGAATACAATGGGGACCTAAGATTTACAATCAGTTTTATGTCTTAGATAAATGTTGTAATTTAGCTATGGCTGTGTACGAAGACAACAATTTTGGAAAAGCTTTTGCAAAATTAATTTTGACAAAATTTAAAAATAATGAAATTCCATTACATGCGTTGAATACACTCCATGAACATTTTTTATTAGAAGCTACACACAGTTCCATGTATAATGAAAATTTGGATATTAGGAAGGAATCAATTGAGTCATTGATGGTATTCATCGATAAATTATGCACTGATGCTCAGTACGTGGTTTTTAAACATGTATTTACAAAACCATTTGACTCTTGTATCAAAGAACAATTTATTGTTAAAATGAAAAACCTGATTATTTTTAATTTAAATTCTGATCGTGATCTTGGATGTTTTCAGGGAATAAGACTTTTAAATATTATTAAATTATGTTGTAATATTTCCGTTAAACGTGGATTCTATCTCCAAAACAATAAAGAACATATTATGGGCGTTATATCACTTCTTTATTTATTCACAGTCCACGACATTGAAAAGTTAAACATGGGCGAAGAATTTTCAAACGTAACTAAACAATTTGTGGACGCCGTTCAAAATGTCATTGATTATTCACATGAAGAGCACAAAATCGAACTAAAAAATTTAGATGATAATGTTTGTAAAGTAAAAGGTCCAGAAGTAATAATAGAAGATAATTTAAATTTAAATCCAAAATTGACAAACGAAGAAAAGCGAAATTTACTATCACAAATGAACACTAACATATCATTAGTCCAGGCAAATTTGGATATGTTGAAAAGTTTCATCAAAAAATAAAGATCTTTCATGTAAAATATTTAAATTTAGTATTTAGTGTTACGTGTGTATGTAAATTTAAGTTGTCTTTATGAAAATAAATAAAAATGTTATAGGTTTTAAGTACTTTTGGTGTTTGTTATGTATTGGTTATTTCACTGTACGGCTCAGAAGTTGTTACATTTACATGTTTTTTTTGGGCCCTTAGATTTATTTCTAAATAAGCTTGAAATTATTTTCACGACACTATTAAAAATCTATAGAAAGTTTATAGTGCATTTTTTTTGCATATTTATTGATTTTGTGGTTGTAAGAGCATATTTCTTAAAATAGCCATTTTCTAGAGTATATTTGATGATAAATGATAAGTTTATAAACCAATTTGAAAATTTACCATTAAAAATAATAAATACATTATAATGTATAATGTACTTAATTATTTTGAAAGTTTTCACTAGGTGTTGTTGTATCTTGTTTTTCCAATCCCTGGTTAACATACAATTTTCCGTTTTTATTAATAAATAGTTAGTAAAAATTTAATAATAGTAGTAAATATTTATAGCAAAATATATGAAAATTACGAATAAAAAATATGCATATTTTTAAGGCATATTTATACTTTTTTAATTGCATAATTGCTATAACTTTTGAGCCCTTAGCCCTAGCACTTGTTTGTATGTTAGTCTAATATAATATGTTAAAATTGTATTATGAAATAGTTAACTGTCTGGTTTCACCAGGTACAGTTTTGTGAATATGACAGTTCAAATATACTTATTTAAAGTTTGGAATATTATTATTAAGCCTGGTGTGATGGTTGGCTGTAGTCACCAACGTGCTCTGAGGTTAAGTATCTCTGGCTTCTGATAGCTCTTGGATGGGTGACCACCCGGGTTTTTTGCAACGAATCCTTACCTCATTTAAACACATGTACCTCAAATAACCGTAACCCTTCCCCCAAAACGAGCAATGACCTATGTTTCCGAGGGTCATTTAAGATGAAAAGATAGCAGGAAAGTATATGAATAGTCATGTTTTTTGTTATGTTCTTGCCAACTTTTTTGTACTATATTTTGCCATACCCATGATGAAACATAATGTTTTCATATTATGTTTTGTTATATTTTCTGTATGTCTTCCAAAAGCAAATTAACAGATTCAAAATATAGGTAGGGTGTAGGGCATAATTAGTTTTTATATTTAACCTAACCTAACCTACACACAATGTGTTCTTTATTTCCTTTTCTATACTTGCAAAATCTTTAGACTCTTAAGTTGTTTTTTTTTCTATCTGTCATTACCTTTTAGAACAGTAAAAATGATTTGATTTTCACTTAGAGGGTGATTTCTCTTAGAAAAATAAATCTACCTAATTGGTACTTTGGTAGGTAAAAAGTAAAAATTCCCAGAACTTTTAATCTAAACTCAGAATCTAATATTAGGCGAAGACATGAAATATAATATGATACAATATAATATTATATATTATAATACGAAACGAGTTCTACACAAATTCTAAGTCATAAGATAGGTACCGGCCGTTCAGATTGAATTCCTTAACGATGTGTAATATAAAAATGAATAACGATAAAGAGACCTGTAACTTTTTTTTATAGGTTTGTATAATGGCAGTTAAAAAATATTAAAGATGCATAAGCATGGTTTATTTTTATAAACATTTAAAGTTGAGATCCCTACAAAATGCATCGTTGACTGGAAGATTTGCTAATTATTTTATGTAATTAAAAATGTATGAAATGTATATATTTTTAGAACTTAGGCCATCATCTACGACAACGGTCTATGATAATTATTGATGTTATAACACGTTCTAACTTTATAAGTACCTACCTAATGAAGCTGATGTGATTAATTTGGAAACTATTTTATAAGTACATTTTTTTAGTTATTTATAATAATTCAGAATATAGGTATGCAAAAGTCAATAATACATTACTGGGTACTTATAAAGCTATATAATATTAATTTATTGGGATAATTTTCAAACAATATTAATTCAACATACCGGCCTACCGTATTAATAATAATAATAATATAAATATAATATAGGTAGGTATAATTATATAATAGACCTACCAAATAGGTACCGTAAGAGCGGGATACTTTGCTCCAAATATATTTCTTTTTTAGTTTGAACCTATACTATAGCTTCAATAACAAAGATAAAAATTACCTGTTCGCGTTGTTTTATATGTATAGATGTTAAGAAGTAAGAACAATTCAAAAAAATCCGAATGTCGTACTAGTGACTTACTTACTTATTCCCAAAAGTTTGGAGCAAATTAAAAATACATTGCAGGTTACATTGCACAATGATTAAAATTACCTTACTTTAATGCATACAATATCTATTGGTGCAATGTTTAGTGCTTGTGTTTTAACTTATTTGAACCTATACTTAATATAATTTAATAATATATATATATATATTTTTTTTTAGTTGATTAAAAGTCTTTTTTCAATACATTTTAAATTAAATTTCAATCCCCTAGATTTTGGATAACTTTTCCGTTATGTATTTTTGTGTTTTTGAAAACCATTTTTTACATGATATACATCTTGGAGGAAAATTAATAGATTCATGTCCGTAATGTTTGAAAAAATTATTAATGTTAATAAGAATAATATAAAAAAAACTACAATCTCTGATCTCAAAATCGTAATGTGCTACGATTGATATCAATAAAAATTTTTTTGGAGCAATGTTTAACCCTTGGAGTAAAGTATCTATCCCGCTCTTACGGTATGTTATATTATATTTTGTCATGTCTCCAACTACATTAAACCACCCTTAATTTGTTATTGTATTATGTTTTGTTTGTAATTTATTGGTATTTTGTTAACTACAACTTTTGTGTTAATGACCTATTTATAATATGTTAAACTTACAATTTTATATCATGTAAAAAGCCGATTGGCGTTAAATTAAAAAAAAAAATAATTCGTACCCGTCCATATCCTATTGTTTTTACGTTTTGTTTTGTGGTTTTTCCCTTTTATTGTAGGCAATTTCGCTAGGGCGAATAACTTTCGCTCGGCGTTTCGGCCGAACGTCTGCGGAGGGTCGACTTCAAGACCATGCAGTGGTAGCGGTGACCCCAACGGCAACCCCAACGGCAGCGGACAATTGGCGACCGATGGAAACGACGTTGGCGGCGATAGTTACGAAAAGGATGTCAAAACGAAGATATTGCAATCCTCTCTGCAGCACGTTCCCCGACACGGATGGTCCAGGGATACCGTGGCCGCAGGTATTCAGACTTTTTATCGATAACTCTCTCTCTCTCCCTCTCTCGAAACGCACCCATCAGGCCATATTATGTGGGCATAGCCGTTCTCGACCAAAAACGTACCCTTCCCTTTTCGGCCGATTCACTTTTCGACCAAATTTAAAAAAGGTCCATTCCCTTTTCGACCAAAATCGTACCCTTCCCTTTTCGGCCGATTCACTTTACGACCAAAACAAAAAGTTTTGTAATATGATATGTAAAATAAATAAAATAATTGGTATATAATTTTTGTAAAATTATGGCAATTATAATTTTAAAAATTATTTAAAGTATAAGTTGCATAAAATGTTGTAATATACAGGTAACTTGACAGGTACCTACAGTATATAATTTATTAAAATGGCTAGGCGTTTTTATTACTTAATAGTAAATATATCACTAAAATATTTTTAGGTATGATTTTGTTAAGTTGGTTTCAAACAATTATTTCAAACAAATGTAATGAAAAGCGCTAACAAAACTCAGACGACACAATTATATTGACCTTATATCATTTTTTTTTATATAATATATCTTATATTTTTAATAATATTTGCCATTATTTATCATTATTTATATTATTATCGACATAACTATTAGACTTAATAATTATTGACAAAAATTGTATATTATTATGTTATTCTTTTTATAAAATATTATGCACAGTGTGACATATTAACACAAAACTAATGTTAATAATATATAGGTATTCTTATATTTAAATGTTTTTTATTTTTTATTTTACAACATTTTATGCAACTTATACTTTAAATAATTTTTAAAATTATAATTGCCATAAGTTTATAAAAATTATATACCAATTATTTTATTTATTTTACATATCATATTACAAAACTTTTTGTTTTGGTCGAAAAGTGAATCGCCCGAAAAGGGAAGGGTACGATTTTGGTCGAAAAGAGAATGGACCTTTTATAAATTTGGTCGAAAAGTGAATCGGCCGAAAACGGAAGGGTACGTTTTTGGTCGAAAACGGTCTCGCTATATTATGTAGACCGCGTACACTTCACCACTCGGCACTTGCCAAAGCTGTCGGTGGAGATTAACGATCATTTTAGTTGTGTGTGTAAAATTGTAGGACATTTTCTAGAACCCTCTAGCTAAGTCCCCAAATCGAGTCTTCATCAAACAAGTATAAGAAGTACCTAACTATATATTTTTTTTAATTTTGAAATTAAATCAGAGTAAAATTATTTAAAATGTTATTTTTACGGTTATTGGTACTTTACACATTGTGGCCGATAGTTACGATTTACTCGGTACGGTCACTATTTAAGGGGCAACATTTAGGCAATTTCTAATCCTGTCATAGCCGCCCGGGATCTATGCGTTAGTTGTAAATGATTATTAGTGTGAGTGAAATTAAATGCGGTTATCCTCTCTAGTACGCGCATAACTTGATGACCATATAAATTTCAGTACAAAAACATACATTTGTTTTGACAAAATTGAAGTTAGTTAACAGTGTCTGATTTAAATTCTGAAAAAATATTTGAATTCAGCAGAAAAATGTCTGTAGATCGTACGAAACATTTTCCGTTTTCAATATTAATTTAAATTATGATTCGAAAAAGTTGATATTTTCAAGTTTTCAATTACAGTTCACAATAATATAAAATTTATTTTGTACAAAGTGCTTCGTAGGATCTGTAGAAAATTTTCTGGTGAGTTATAATTTTTTTGTCAGAATAAAAATCGGATAACGTTAACTAACTTTAGTTTTGTCAATACTTTAGGTCTTTTCAGCTAAAATTGACCGCACTAGCGAGGCCCCTTATGATAAGAATGGTTTTTCCTCGGTGCGAAATGTGTGGTCAAAGAATATCGTTACCTACTCGGGCTAGTAATATTTTATCACAGACACCTATGACCTATATAATATGTCCCGGCGATTTCCGAAAGAGCTCTCGACGTCCGTCGGATGGCGGACGACGTGCTCAGCCGCCCTAGGACGTCGAATATGCGAAATTCGCAAAAAAAATTGTATATTATGCATATTATGTAGCATAAACACAGCAGGGGTCGTAAATCTTTTCGTAGGATATCCAGGGAGCCGCACAGGATTGAAGAACCTTTTTTTTTTTGCTCACGTATCGACTAATATAATTTTGTATTCTACCGAATAATGATAGTCGAGTTTAAGGGGACACGTCTTTTTTTTTGTCAAAAACTACTGTTTCTAATTCCAACGATACGTGTCGACAATTATCACGATTTTCATTCTGAAAAAATATTCTGATTGTCCGTAATATATGCAAGGGAACGATCGAGCCACATTTTTAATTTTTGTAATTTAAATTGCAATAAAAATTGTAAAAAATAAAAAAAAAAATTACAGAATTTCCGACTTAAATATTTAATTAACTAAATACAATTTTGAAAACGTGCCTAGATCGATGCCTCATCATGTTGTGTACATGTTGTGGAAAATACGAATATTTTGTCAGAATGAAAATCGAGGTAATCGTTGCGACGTACTGTTGGAATTCGAATCGTATGTTTGAGTGAAAAATAAACATTTTCTCATGATCACAATATTCCATACTTACATGTCCGTGCGAGAGCCCTCCGCATGGACGCCACTCACACTAATAATCATTTACGACTAACTCATAGATCTCGGGTGACGACGATGAGATTAGAATTTGCCTAAATGATTCTCCTTAAATCAATGCCATTGCGAACAGAACACACACATATATAGTATTATATATTTATTTTTACCTGAAAATCGTTATTGAGAAATTCAGAATTATTATCACTATAATAACGCAGGTATAATATAATTTATACTTTACTACGGATCTCCATATATTGGTAATTATCCAAAAGAGCCGCAGGTTGCATGTTAAAGAGCCGCAGGTTCCCGATCCCTGATATACAGTAAAATCTCTAAATAGACACTAGGGCGCTGTCATTTTGTCCGCTATTTAGAGGTTTTGTTAGGTGAGGTTTCATTGTATTTCAGAATTTAAAATTTACACAAAAGTGTTTGTAGGCAATTATTATTTATTTATATATAGTTATGATAAATTTACTAATGTTTTTACGTATGTAAACAATTTACATTGATTACCTGTGTATAGTTAATGGCACTTGTAGTAGAAATTTACACAAAAATGTATAGGTACAAACTTCATTTACGCATGTAGTTGTAACAAATTTACTAACATTTTACGCACAGAATGAATTTATTTTGATAACCCCTGTATATTTACATAGCTAACTGCACTTCCAGTCGAAATTTACACAGAAATGAGCGTGAACACTATGTTTACTTCAATACTTGTGATAAATCTACCTACTTTTATACGCAAAATTAATCAACTTACATGTCATGGGTACTTGGTGACGTTAGTGGAAATTTAACAAAATTTTTTACAGTGTGTGTGGTTCGTCGACTACCGCACATTTGCCACTATATACCAATGACGTCATCGTAGCTATATACTGGTAATGTCATCGAGTGTAAGCGGTAACGTAATTTCAGATAGTCCCACCCGACCCCCAGCCAAAAGACGTGTTAAATATTTGTATAGGTACGCGTACATTATATATATTATATACAGGGTGATTCATTAAGCGTGAAACACTCATTATCTCAAAAAGTATTAATGTTTTTGAAAATATTTTTTTACATAGTTTCAAGTTGTTAAAAAAACAACGTTTTCATTAAAAAATTATATTTTTTATCTTTATAATTTTTTAAGTTTTTACTTTTTTGAAAGACAGCATAGAGTTTTAATTTCATATTCCAAAGCAGAATATTTTTCTAAGAATTTTGATACATAAAAATCGAACTTAGGACGAGTAGTTTATGAGTTTTAAGCATTTTAAGTTTTGATGGGCGGAGTGGAGTAGTATGGGGTTACCCCGCAAAATGATTATCCACTACTCCGCCCATCTAAACTTAAAATACTTATAACTCATAAACTACTCGTCCTAAGTTCGATTTTTATGTATAAAAATACTTAGAAAAATATTCTGCTTTGGAATATGAAATTAAAACTCTATGCTGTCTTTCAAAAAAGTAAAAAACTTAAAAAATTATAAGTATAAAAAATATTTAAAAATACAAAAAATATTTTTAACGAAAACGTTGTTTGTTAACAACTTGAAACTATGTAAAAAAATATTTTCAAAAACATTAATAATTTTTGAGATAATGAGTGTTTTACGCTTGATAAATCACCTTGTATATAGGTAGTTATTGATAATATTACACACTCCGTTCTACACCGACTTAAACTGACTGTAGCCATTTTGTATTTGTCCGATCGTATAGGCGCCGAAGAGCTCGGTTACCCGGACACGGTGCACGGCCTCTTCCGAGACCCTGGGGCCGAGTTGGCCCTGTACTTTTACTCGGCCAGCAACGACTCACTGTCCCGACTCCTCCGGGACGGCACTCTGACGTTGCCCACAGAAAGGTACTGTGCTGCCACGAGTCGTCGCTTGCGTTACGGACGTAATTTCATATCCTCTGTGCGTTTGATTACAGCAAAGCGGAGCTCACCGCGTTCCTGACCGTCGCCATCAAGACCAGGTTGCTGATGCTCCAACCGTACTTGAACCAGTGGCCGCAGGCGATCGCCTTGCTGTCCAAACCGTCCAACGCGCCGCAAGCCCTGTCCAACCTGATGACGCTGGTCAACGACGTCTGTTACTACGCGGGCGACCGGTCCATAGACGTGCGTGTATACGGCGTGATCGCGACGAGTGGAAACGCTCAATAACTGTGTGCTGCGGGCTTCATAATATTTTTCAGTTCTGCTTCTTTTTGGCCAACCGATAAACATTATCATACACATTTTCAAATAATTAGACTGTTTTTTGCAAGGCTGGGCATTAACGAGTTAATAAGTTAAAGTTAAGTTACTTTTAACTAAGTTAATTAACGAGTTACTTTTTTTTTTTAGAAGTAACTTCTAGCTAAACGATTTACATTTTTCCCCATGTTATTCAGTAACTTAACGAGTTAATTAATTTTATTGGCACGTTAAGTAAACCACATATTATTTAAAATTAATTCAATTTTGTAAAATTAATTACATAAAAAAAACGCCGAAATATTAAATATATTTTATTAAATAATAATTTATAATAATAGTAAGTTTTTATATTGCATATTCACAGAAAATATTTTATAACTATATATTACAGAGGGAAATATCATAGGGGTAACCACGTCAAAGAAAAATATAACAATTTACTCAGTACCTATCCCATACACGACATATCACCTAACCTATACCTAATCATTATTAATATCATTACTTAATTATATTTTTATTCATTCATAGAATTACGGTGATAACTTGGCCCATCTATGTAAATAATACCAGTAGTAGCGTGGTATTTACTATTTACCTAATTAAAGTATAATACACAAAATTAATATAAGTACCTACAGTAACTAATTTTATTACAAACATTTATTCAAATATAGTAAGACATTTTTTGATTTATTGAATTATTACCTATGTTATTTGTTAGCTTTAAAAAAGGTAGGTAGGTATAATTGTTAATTTTATTTTAAAAAAAAAGTAACTTATTTTTAACTAAGTTAAGTTACTTTTATTTTCTAATTAACTTGTAACTTTTACAAGTTAAAAAAAAAATGAAGTTAACTTTTAACTTTAAACTTAACTTACATTTTTCTATATTAACTTAACTTAACGAGTTAAAAAAAATAGTTAACTTGCCCAGCCTTGGTTTTTTGTGACGATTGATTTTGAGCACGAGCACGATAATTTTTTTTTTTTTTTTAATGGCACGAGGTCTGTCTTCGACCACAAGTTATTTTCTTTGTATTTTTTAATGAATTTTAGTGGTTGAATTTCTTTTCTAAGTTAAAAAATGGTCGAGTTATAGTAATCTGATTTTATGTTATTTGCATGAGTATAACAGATTTTAAAATACGTAGTTAATAATAATAAATATCCATACAAATAACATAAAATCAGATTACTATAACTCAGCCATTTTCAGCAAGAAAAATAATTTGCGGTCAAAGATAGGTCGTGCCATTAAAAAAAAAAATTACTGTGCTCAAGCGCAAAATTAACTGTCACAAAAATAGTCTAATTTTTTGAAAATGTGTATAATAATGTTTATTAGTTAGTCAAAAAAGCAGAATTGAAATTTATGAAGCCTGCACATAGTATTTCTACTTATCGTGATCACACTGTATATTATAAAGTTCAAAATACATATCTGTAAATGTATATTATGTACAGCTGCTAACGTTTTTCCTAATCCCAATCAAAAAATTTATTTCATACAATTTTAGAAAGTTTTTTCTTACTACGTTAGAAAATTACACAATCAATGAAATTTGTAGTATTTTATATATTTCTAATAGATTCTCGAAAGGAAAAATTGTTATTTCATGTCTCGTAATAAAAAAAAAACAAGGGATTCGTGTATAGCAGGTGTTGACTTACGAGCAGGAGTTAAAGTGAGGAGGAACTCAGTCCCCCTACCTTGGACGACGGTTAAAAAGCGTCCCCTTTAACAAATTAGGATTCTATACATTAAACATACATAAAATTATGTATGGAATGCTTAAGGCTATATGGAGACATTAGTCCCCTCTGGAATTTTTTCCTAATTTAAGCCCTGCTTACGAGATGGTGATTTACCAATTCAATATACCTAAGGGATATTCCAGTACATACTTTCGATTTGTTATGGATTATTACAATGTATTTGTTATTAGTTATTATTTATAAAGAATAATATTGCAATATAAATTATTATAAAAATAAATCGAATCGAATCATTAATAATTAAATATTGTGGAATTTTAACTCTGATTAGAAATGGAAACATCATTTATAAATAATTAGCTGCACAGTCCATCGTATTGCCGACGCATCATCTGACAGTGTCACAATAATTAATTTGTTTGTGTTTGTTTCAATTATATAGACTCGATGGTACACACGGCGTATAGGGTTGGCCACTATTTACAAATCCAGTGAACTGCATTTATTGCAAGACGGATCGCAAGGATACGATGACACGTGGAAATTTGTCAGAAGAGCAGTCGAGGAATGCGTGAAGTTGGATACAATGCTCGAGAGTAACGCTCAGCTCGCCAAAGACGTCGTCACAGCATCAGTGTCTACGGTATGTCGAATCGATTGGAATCAACATTAATGTTGTTGGGTCCATGATCGTACCACTTAAATACCTATGTTTTTTTTTTCCAGGCCAAAAACATTCTGGGACTTACGTGGAACAGATAATACCTCAGTTATTCTTCCTCGGCCGTCGACTAGTAAATTGTTATTCTGCTTTTTTACATATTTCTTGTTCTACACACTATTATTACCATATTGTAAAAATTAGTAATTTTTTATTAAATAAAACAAATGGATGCCTATAATTTGTTACTAAAATACGCGGTGTTGAACTGTTAACATCTTTTATTCATCCGTAGAACTGAAGACGTTCGGTCGTGAGGGAAACAAAAAACCAATAATCGATTAAATATAATTGAAAATAGAAATTGTTTTTATTAGACGTAATTAGTAGACAAAATAGAATGCTTATAGTAATTTTTATTAATAATAGAGCAAATGAAGAATTAAAAAAGTTATTAAACCGATTTAATAATAGGAATTGGTACATTCTATACGATTCATTAAACATTTCAAATATTAATCTTAAACATAGTACGCTATTATTATTATATAATGCTCTTTCAAATTTCGAATCGTATTTAATCTAGAAAGTAGTATATTATCAAATACACATGTAATATTAATTAATATAGAATATATTATATCAATAATATTAAATATCATAGAAATTACAAAAGTAAAGCGTGATTTACCTAAATAACAGTCGAGTGAATGAGCAAGAACCTCTAGCCTAAGTAATATACAGTATTATATTCAGTAGGTAATAATAAATAATTGTACACCAATTCAACAATCATAGAGGCACTCTATAGTAAACACAATATCATTAGTTAATATTATATTCATGTATAATAAATTACATTATATTATTATATAATTTAAAACAATTGGCCTTTTTCTGACAAAATAACGGTGAAACTTAACGTTAAAATATCACAGATTTTACTAATCGAAAAGCGATAGAAAAAGTAAGGCATTTTGTTTCGTAGTCTATATAAATATAACATTATTGTAATACCCTACACTGTTTTTCAAAAACAATATTTTATTGCTACAGTTTTGTCAAGGCTGGGCATTAACGAGTTAAAAAGATAAAATAAAATAAACTTTTTAACTTAACTAGTTACTTTTGGCTTTTCATTATCTTAACTGTTACCCCTTTAAATTTCTTTTTTAATTAACGGGAAATTGACGAATTGATTTTTCATTTTGAGAAGTAAGTTAAGTTAATTTATATTGATTTTAATTTTATTGTAGGTATTTCACTATTTCAGTCTAAATCGTTTTCATGTGAAAAAATATTTACCGCGGATTGTTGAAAGTTAAAAATGTATATCATTCAAATCTAACTTATATGGAAATACTGTATCAAGTTTAAACACTATATAGTCTATAATTTAGTTTTGGGTTGGAAAAAAATTAAGTACGCTAGCGTAGTATAAACAAAATATTAACTTTTTTTAACTTACTAAAAAAAATCATTAACTTGCCCAGCCTTGCAGTTTTGTACGGGTCATTCGGTAATATTATTATGATTGGAGACCAGTGTACCTTGTCTCAGATTGTCTATAATACCTATATGTATACGGAGTGATTTTTAACGTTGCAGACACTAATTTACCTTGTCAATTGTTGTGTATTGTTATGATTCATGTTTAAAGAACTATCGTCAAAAAAATAAATTGTTTACAATTTTTTAAATGTTGGTCATTCTTTTAAATTTCATATTCTAAAGAAAAATATTTTTCTTGAAATCGATTGTATAAGACATATTATTATTATGTATCACACATTGAAGTGGTAGTCTTTTATTTATACCATTATAAGCAATAATATATTAGATACACAATAAAAAAAATTAGAAAAATATCTTATTTCAGAATATGAAATATCCCCCAAAAAGGATTTAGATAAAAACAAATATAAAACTGCAGGTGAATCGATATTACTGAGTGGGTAAACAATTATTTTTTTACAATATTTTAGGTAATTTTTTTTAAGTTATAGGTACATAATATGTGTAATTGTAAATTTGTAATAGGTACTTCAAGTTGTACGGAAAACATGTTTTTCTCTAAAACCAAATCAATTGACTGAAACCGATGAGCATCTCAACGTTAAACAAAACTCACGTACAATAATAATAATAATAATATATATACATGTTTACATAATGTTTTAAGCGCAATACAATTGAACGGCAGTTTGAATTCCTAAGCTGTACACGGCCACTGTACGAAACTTTTGTCGAAACAAAACCTGAGAACAACGCGGTAAATAATATTATATTGTGTGTGGGAGACTTAATCGGAAGCGATGACCCTTTTTTGAAATCTCGCCGATGCGAATCTGCACTTTTTCCTCGCGATGGCGGACGTCTCGGCCGCAGGAACTGTTGCCCCGTGGATATCGATGGACAGCAAAGATGGCAGTGACGCAAAGTTTGTAACGTTCTCTTCGTCGTGTGTGGATTCGCAATGTCCTTGATCGCTGACCGTCTTGTTTTGAAATCTATATATGCGATATATACAATGTATATACAAACGATCAAGCCTAAGTAAGTGTTATCTTTGAATGGTTGAATCTTATACGATATGATGTAGGGATAGTGTCCTCAGAGTCTATAATATGCTCAACTAGGGGAGAGACTTGTAACAGCCCCAGCAAAATAAATTATTCAGTTGTTTCCTAAAATATTAATAAACCTTTGAGAATTCCACTGTAGGTATTTCTTACTTTTTTTGGGGGGAAAAGGGGGGTTGAGGGGATTAGCCCCTCCACACTTGTAATAACCCCTGAAAAATAAATTATTCAATTGTTTCTTAAAATATAAATAAACCTTTAAAATTTCCACCGTAGGTATTTCTTAATTTTGGAAAAAAATTAATATCTAGTTTTTATATTAACTTTATAATTATTTTATATTGCCTGTGATAAATACAGTAAATATCAGTAGCTGGAGGCCTGTATTTGTTTTAAGTAATAAATTTATATCTGTAAATTGTTAAGATTATTATACATCATCGTACATTATATGCACTGAACTGTAATAGATACAGTGAATTGTGGAATAAAAATACTCCGAAAAACCCTCCGAGCCAGTGGCGTATATACGAATTATTTTCACTATGGGACAATTTATCAGTTATCACTAGTCAAGAATAGCACAACTAACATAGCCATAACTATACATTTTTTAGGGAGCTGGGTGGTTATAATTATGACATATACAGTACAAATAAAAGTTACGCAATTTAATTACTATGTAAAATTAATTTTTTGATTCTTTTTTAAAAAATATTGATAGTGTCATTTATATATTTTAATTTTTAATGTTATCTTACTATGAATTTAACATCAAAGTCAATCATAAGTTATCAAAGCAAGTCCTGACCATCAACATTTCCTTGTTGATTCCTCAAAAACGATTTTAATCAACCGGCTAACTTAATCATGGTGGAAAACTGTAAACAGTGTAGATATACATGCAATATGCTTTAATTGAACCTGCAATTTCACTATGGGCTCTAGCCTAGGGAGTAGGGGGCCTCCCCCCTATATTCGCCACTGCATCCGACCCTAGGAAATATAACTCCCATACTGTCAACCACGTGAAATTGATTGATCAAATATTTTTTAAAAGCTAATTAGTGTAATATTTGTAACTACATTTTTATTATGTGGTAATTACACTAATTAGTTTTAAAAAAAAGTATTTGCTCAATCATTTTCATGTGACCGTGAGTAATATATAAACATTAAACTTATATCGCCCCCACGGGTTACTTTTTATGTAATATCAGCATTTTAGCCCTAGTAAGGAGCCACTGAAGTTCAGAGTACATCGCACGGTCGTTCGACGGTTACTTACCTCAGTCTCCGGTTTTCAGTGCGATTACTCTTGGTTTTTCTCTTAACGGTTTTCTTGTCCTCGCCGCTCTTACCGCGATCCGACCAATTTTCCGACGAAAGATTTCTCTTCACCGAATCGTTGGAACGTCTGTGCCTATTGCCGTAACTAACCCTGCATACAAAATCATAAATATTACAATAATATACATTTATAATACCTAATATGTCAAACTGTCAATACTAAAGGGCTATAACCTGACAATTTAAAAAATGTAATAATTTGGTTTCTAGGATTTCTTTTTTTTTTCTTATTTTCTCGTTTTCTAGCACTTTCTAGTAATTATCTTACTACCTATAATAAATTGAGATGTAAATTATTAAACTTATTGCATTGAGATTACTGAAAAGTATTTAAGATCAATATAACCATTTACTCTGCACTCCTAGCCCTTGATGCGTTTAAAATTTAAATAAATAATACAAAATACGTCCGCTATACAATATCAGTAAATACCTACCTACCTTACTAATATTTTAAAAACAATGCCGTGAATGTAGAACGGTACCTAATAGTAAATATTTTATTTGGCATTAATTAATATAATAGTAACTATATTCATTCTTTATAAGCAACTGTTTAGTATACAATATTATAATTTTTATATTTATTACGGTATAGTTGTTTATATTAAATAGAGATTTAATGTTTATTTCAATATTTGATCATAATATGTGGTATAACAATAATGTATAATATGATGAAAAAAACATTACTTATATTGAGCATTTACAAAATGTATAATGCAATAAGGCTATGTCTCTAAATATTCTAGGAAAGAAAAACGATATTAATAGCAAGATAAATTCTTCTATAAATTTATCATAAGCAATATTTCATTTAATATAACTAAACATTAAATAGTTTTTTCGAACTTATAAAAGCTCTCCAGAATAATAGGTATTTAAATTGCTTGAGTTATGGCAACTTAGCACTTATGTCTCAAGGCGATTGGATACCGTGATTTCTGCCTTTGTCTAACACACGAGCGACATACGATTTTCTACTAATTTTACTTCAATCAGTCCAATCGTTGTATTGATGCAATAAAAATTCTGAAAATGTATTTGAATTCAGCGCGAAGACTACTTGAGATCGGTCGGATTACATTTTTGAATTTTGGCTTCAAAATTCCACACATTTGATCGAAGGTTTTTGAAAAATATTACATCTTGTAGTAGTGTTAAAAAAATATTATTAAATAAAACTGAAAAAGTGACCCTACCGATCTCAAGTAGATTTCACGCTGAATTCAAATTAATTTTCAGAATTGTTATCACTTTAATACAACGGTTGGACTGATTGAAGTAAAATTAGTAGAAAATCGTATGTCGCGCATGTGTTGGACAAAGACAGAGAATCACGGTACCCAATCCCCTTAATGTTGTACTAAACATAAAAACTGTGACAATCCAATAGTCCGCTATGTCTACTTACTTAGATGTGTCGTTTAGGCTGTCGGTAGACGACGAAGAGCTAGGTACTATCGTCTGCTGAGATCGAGATCGTCTCCTAGTATTCGGTTTGGATCGGGACTTTTTTCTATCGTTCCTCCCAGGCACGTCCAACAGCAGAACGCTGTTGTTGGATGGCAACGGCTCCGACGGAGTTGTGCACGTGGATCCCCCGAATACCCCACCGCCACCGCCGAAGTGTCTCTTCTTTCGCTCTCTCTTCTTGCCCGTCCGCTTCTTCATCGCGCAATCCGAACTCGTAAAGTCGTATATACTGTCCGAGTCGGTGATGCGGCCGTAGAACATGGGTGAGAACCTGAACACCGTCTTGTCACTAAGCGGGCTTTCACTCCTCGAACTCACCGGGCTCTTCTCGTACAACATGTCCGTGGACAGGTGCAGTGTCGACGGATACTGTTGAACCGTGATTGACGGCACCGGCTGCTGCTGCTGCTGCTGCTGCAGGTGACGACCAAGCGCTTCCGGCTCTGAGCCAGAAGTGTAAGCCTTGAGACCAGTGGTGGTCACACCAGGCTTCAGGGTTTCCGATTCAAGTTCTGCGTTCCGGTAGTGGTGTTTCGTTCGGTGGCCCATCTTTGGGTCTGCCGTTTCTGTGTCGAAGCCCTCGTCGTCGTTTTCGGAGAACGTCGTCTCCGAGTCCATTTCCCTGATCTCGGGCGTGTGGATCAGCGGTGATATGCGCCTTGGTTCTTCGCCGCAGTCCAATGGGCACAGCCGGGTGTTCGAGTTGCACCGGGATGGGCCCGAACTGTACCCAGACGAGCTGAGGTTCGACTCCGAGGCTATTCTGTCGGCCCGGGAACACATAGAAAATGGACTAAGGTAACACATGCCTCCTCCGTTTTTTGACGAGTCCGTACCGTTTTTCGTGGTCACAGACTCCGTATCTGAATCGCTCATACACGTAACTGTGATGACCGGCGGTGGCGCAGGCAGATCCAGCGATATCGGCTTCTCCATGTCTTTCAACATCTTCCGGTTGAGTGGTTTCTCTTTGTGGGGCGGTGGAGACCCGGGGAACTCCATACTTGGTGAATTGATGGGTGTCGGTTGTTGAATCACTAGCATGGGTATAGTCAGCTGCTCAGCTTGGACTGTTGGTGGTTCAGTTGGTACTTTGAGAGAAGGTGGTTCCTTGATAAAAAAAAATAACAATTTTTAAAATTAAAAAAAAATTGCATACAAATGCTGATTATTTAAAAAAAAAAAACCTTCTGCTGCTGAAAGTTGTCCATGTCTTTCAGACAACTGAATGCTGACTTCCTCGATATGATGGGTGTGGGAGATGGTGATGGCGCCGGTGTCGGTAGCTCATGTATCGGCGACAAACAATCCATACGATAGTTGGGCACTTCGAGTAGTATAGACGGAGGATGTTGCAGGCTGTTCAATGGATTGTTTGAATTGTTCCGTTGCGAGCTTAACATGTCCACTACCGGTAGCTGATCATAAATAAATAAAATTAATATAATAGTATACATATTTATTAATAAATTAACAACAGATATTATTTTTATTAAACATATACATATAATCAATATAATGTAACTAGGTATCACTTTACTCACTTGAATCACGTTGGAGTAACGATACCGCGTGGGGGATTCTTTGCCATTACCCGGTGAATGAGCATTATTTGACATCAACGACTCGTCTTCGCTGCCCACGATTTCGTCTTGCAAACTGGAACAACTTGGTGTCGTGGATGCCGATAAGTAATTACTCATTTCTGTCATCGCCATTGCCGTGTTGAAATTTCGAAACATAGCCAAAATTGAATCTGCACTCATGGCTTTTTGGCCCGTTTGTTGTTGGTATTGGTTTAGCGATAATGTATTTGGGTTTCGGTTCTCTATAGCAAAAATGAAACATTCTCGGTTTAATCATTTAAATAAAGCCAGTGCAGTCAGCATCTTGATCAGTCAATTTATAATTTTAACACCGCATCATTTAAAAAGTAAAAACCATAAATATCCTAAATAGATTAAATAACTAACTTAACTAAATCTCTGTCCAAAATTTTGATTATTAGCTCTTGTTAGATCTATGTAAATATATAATATAGGTACCTAATGCACATTCCAGACTGGACGTAGAATCACTGCCTTGGTTGGGACAGGGTCTTCTCAAATTTCGCTTAGAGTGGTCTATCTCTGAACTCGTAGAGCTCATTTCCGATTGAAATTTATTCATCAGCCTGGCAAACGTGACTTTCTTCTCAATTTTTTGAACAGCTTCGTCTGAATTAAAAATGATAACATTTAGTCAATTTTTGAAGTGAAAACTTATCTTGGAAGGCTCTGCTCTCCATTAGAATCACTGGAGTAAACGCGTGAAAATATCAGCGACACTAACAAATATAAAGCGTAACGCTTTCAATCCAATGCATCTATAATACAATATACATTCTATATATATATTATGTGTACGCTCGAAATCGACAGTGGATAGTGGCTCTTATACTACGATTCAAGGTAGTATGGTTGTCCACCGACTACGGTTAAATACTAAAATTTTGATTTCACACTGCTCCGTGATCCGTGATTTCCGAAAAAACAATTCAGATTCAGCCATAACTAGCTCTTAAGGGGCCTGCTCGTGTCTTTAATAAGGCGCAATATTTAGGCAATATGCAGTTTCGTTGCCGCCGCCCATGGCATTTGTGTTAGTCATTTGTGTTAGATGATTAGTGTGAGTTTGATTGTATGCGGGTACCGGGTCATCTATACATGTCAACGGTACTGCCGACCAAAAATAAAATGCATGAGTTTTTGCTCAAAACACGGTTTACAGGAAAAACTCTCACGCATCTTGGAGTGGTCTGATTTGATTAATTTTTTTTTTCGTTAGAAAGAGAAGAATTTTCTACAGGGTGCATTGAACTTTGACTTTAAATCTCATTGCTTATGACAAACATAATAAAAATAACAAAATCTTGTGAAACTTGGTCATATTCAAAGTCGTATTATATGGTTTAGAAATAGAATCTTGAAAATCCAAGTTCAATGCGCCCTGTAAGAAGCGTTTCTCTTAAAAAAAAAAAAATATTGAAATCGGATCACTCTACGAGGCGTGAAAGTCTTTCTCGCAAGGCATGTTTTTGAGCAAAGAACAGGTCACGTGCAGGCCCCTTAAACAATGTTTATAAATAAATACCACGCAGACATTGAAGAATACCAAAAAGTAGAATCCAATACTACTAAAGTCAATTGTTTACAGTTATGAGGTTAGTGGTTACTGGTTACGAAAATAACTATCAAATACAAGTATGTTAGGTGATTGTTTCATTGTGATAACAAGAAACCAGTTACCACTTACCGTTATCAATTACGTTCTCAACTTCATCACTGAAAATACAGAGTGTAGGTATATTACCTATGGAACAGTCGTTTGAAAAACTCGTTTCTTGCGAAATATTCGACTGTGGTAAGACAATGTCGTTGGGGCCGATGTTATTGGTCGATAGCTTGTCTACCAGGTTGATTTCGTCGTTGAAACTGGCTTGTCGTTCGAGTCCGGGTGATATGAGCTGTTGAAGTATTTCCGATTTATCGGCTATAGTGGTACGAAATTTCGACGGTGATGCGCTTTTTTGCTTGGCGCGGTATTGATTGAATCCTAAAATTGTACGATTGTTGTTAATCGACTATATCCGCAAAAGCTCCACTTTAATTGGTTATTATAATAATACATGTATTATGCATCATAACATACGAATAGGTAGGTATTATATATTTACATGACATAAACGACGTGCTATGTATAGGTTAAATAAAATATATACGAGCTAAAATAGGTATAGTGTCGTGAGTCGTGACGTATATGTATTTAGTATTATCAAAATAATAGTAATAGTAATAATAATAATGATATAAATTAATAATAAATTTACACGATATTATATTATAATTATATATTAAGGGGCCCGGTGCCGGTTTTTCAAATGTTCCGCAATTATATTTTATATTTTAATTGCCACTTTAATTATAATACTTTTGTAATAAGATGACTTCAGAGGAATAATTCTCAGGCTTTAATTGTCGGATTTTGATGACTATTTTTTTGTCTGAAAGAAGAAGACTTCCTACAGGCCACGTTGAATTCCGATTTTATTGTATTAATTCAAATAATGGTATAATATTATAAAATAAAAAAAAGCTTTTATTATTTTTGAAGACATATTATTAAGTTTGAGATCCAAATATTGAAAAACGGATTTCAATATAGCCTGTAAAATATTAGGTACCCTCTATTAGTTTTTTAAAAAAAAATTAATCAAATTTGGTTGATTGTACAGAACATGATAATTATTCCCGAAGAGCGTATTTTTGTGGACAAAATCACATTGGCTCCGGGGGCCCTTAATAATTATTAATATCAAAACTAAAAAAAAACAAATAAAAGGATTTGGTGTATTACTTATATGTACACGAAAAACGTTAATATCAACACACTAGTAATAATAATAATAATAATAATAATAATAGATATTAGATAGTGTAAGAGAGCAAGTCCAGGTGAGGTGCCAATATATGTGTGTGTGTTGTGTGTGTAGGTATATATATACATATTATAGTGTATGTATATATAATATATATGTATTTTATCATAGAAATAGAAGTATAGAAGTAGAAGTGATGTTAAAATATTGTAAAGTGCAATGCGGTGCGAACAGGTGGTTAAGGGTTTTGGGAGAGGGCGTATAGTCGACACCTTACTCGGAACTTGTGGCCTGAGCAAATCGTCCAGGCTGAACGTACGGGCCGTCCGGCCCGTCTGTAACGGACTGGTGAGGCTCATTAATGAAGGTTTTCGTATACCCAATCGTCTGAGGAACGTTTTCGGCTGCGGCGGCGGCGAGTTACCACCTTCCGACGGCGTCGCTCCGTTCGTCTTCACAGTCGGCACCAGGAGTTCGCCCCGTACGCTCGACATCCGGCCGGAAGCATTCACTGTAACTATATGATTATACATTATGAACACAGCGCATTCGTATCAGGGACTGGAACATGGTCGAAAATTGGGGGGGGGGGGTGCTAAGCCCCCCAAACTTAGCCATAGCCCCCCCCCCCAAAAAAAAAAACCTAGGACATACAATTTTAATATGCTGTATAATACCTTATAATATAATGTATGATCACATTATGAGTTTTCTAACATTTCTCAAAGTATTAATTAAACCCGCATTCCGGACAGGTATTTTAAATTATTATATACTATTCGGTACCAAAATTATCTGGAACCGGAACCGAAATTATTTGGAACCGGTACCTTTATTTTTTTCATCAAAAACCAGAATCGAACCGGAACCGTTATTTTATTTTTGGAGAACCGGTACCGGAACGATACCGATAAATCCAAAAGGCCACCGACTAAATTAATTTGTTACTGTGTAACGCTCACGTCTAAACGCGCCCAAGACGGAGGCACAGTGACGGGTCGCAGGGCAGGGTGTAAGTGGGTATAGCCGGTATAGGGATATGCATATAATATGAACTATACGTCGAAATGGAAAACATATATTGTGGTTAAGGATTACAGAGGAGATGGCGAACTAGACTATATTATTATATTTATACAGACGATCGATATTTCGACACGGGATTTAGCCGAATTACTGGAACGTGATTGGAAGGTAAGCACCCAAATTGAGCCTATGTAAGGGGCCTCGGAGGAATTTCGTTAATATTATACTATAATATTGTAGGAAGGTTTTCAATGTAACATACGAAAAACCGTTCACAACAAATCGTTTTTGAAAAATCGTGTTTTACGATCCGTTTGTTCGGAAAAATGTTTCCTTTAACGTGGCGTACGCACATCGTATACGGTTTAGGTCATATAATAATATACAGAAAGTCACAGTTTTCGGAAATAGAGTAAACCGCACGAAATATACGAGAAAAAAAATTATTATTTATTAATGGGTCGAGTTATTTGTATTAATCTAAAATGAGTATTTCACTCATCAGCTGTCTGATTATATTAAGCATATATTATATTATTCGTACAAAGAATATAATATTTCGTTGTATACCAGCTGTGCGTATTTTCCGTTTTAAATATATCACCGTCTAAAAAGCATCAGGCAGTTCAAACTTGCTCATTGAAATTAATCGTTTTAAATAACTATCGGAATGCGAATATATTGAAATATATTAGTGAACATAATATATATGTGTATATATATATACTATTATTTTCAAAAACTATACTGCGACAGTCCAGAAGTTTTGCTTAGAAAAGTATTTTTTTTTTTTTTTTTTAATTAAAAGTTTTATTTTTATATAGTTTCTGAAGACATATCATTATAGTATTGTAATAAATTTAAAACTTCAGTACTTGCAGATAAAATTTATCAAGTTAATATGTGGACGAAAAAAGTGTATCGCGATTTGAATTGCACTCAATTTCGATCGAAACGATAACGATATGTTTCGTCCTTCAATTTTAAGTGACATATATAATAATATCAATTAGTTTTATTATTGAATATACATTTAAGTGTATTTTTTCACGCGTTCTGTTATATCACCAGCTAGAGTAGTTTTATGTATAGGTACAAACAGACTAAGATCTACTAGGTATGTATCTGCCTGCATACGTGCCAAAACAGACAAATGTTTACTATTTCGATTCGAACTGACAATATTATTTAGGTTACCTACCTATACCTTGTATATTGGGTGTGCGTATAAAAACGTAGGTGGGTATACATACATAATATACGAGAATATATTATATAGTCGGTGGGCGGGCGGTTGAGGTGGTTAAATTCCATTCGTATATACTCACAGTGTCTACTGCGTTCGGCTTCTTCGGATAATATTTTCTCGATTTTTTCGGGCACGTGCCGTTTAGCACACCATATTATTCCCAGTATGCCCATGACCACGAACACGGTGAGTAGACCCAGCCAAAATGGTTCCTGAAGCATTCGTTCCGTTAACGGCTTGTACGTGATGTGCAGCATTTTCCTCTCGCACTGATCACCTGCAATACAGTGTATATAATATATATATAATGTGCGACGTGAGTCAAATCCGTAAAGGTAACTCTATATACACGCGTTTATGTTGCCATGTTTTATACTTGTCCCTTATATGTTATAGTAGCAGTATTTATATTACACCTACATCCGTTTTTCGTGCTCCCATTTGTCGTCAAAGTACGGTTAAGTATGTGCATAAGGTCCACTCACCCGTCCAGTATGCGTAACACCTGCACTGGTAGTCGGAATCGCCCAACGACACACAATCGCCACGGTCCTTACAAGGGTTCAGCTCGCATGGTTTGATCTTTTCGTCGCAAAACCGTCCCATGTACCCGTACTGGCATTTGCACTCGAATCCATTGCTGCCGGCCAAAATGCATTCGCCAAAAACGCAATAGCCCAGATCGCAGTAGGTGAGCGAACAGAACGTTCCTGTATGTATGACAATATTACATTATCCGGTAATGGCGTTACACAAAATAATATGTAAGTTATAATGTAAGACGTAAGTTGTTTTTAAACGAGTTCGAATACCGACAAATCGTCGTCGTCAATCATTTCGGTTCGACTTTTTCAATTTTAAGTTTTCGTTTTTCGCCTAAATGGATTTATATCCATACAGTTTGTCATCGCATTTCTAGCTCGACTTAGTCAATAGTTTTGAGCATTTTACTTTTGCTTAACTTTTATACTTATTCAGTATTTTACGCGCACTAATAATTAATACTAAACTACCAATAATTATTGAATTAAAATATATATCATCAATGTTTATTCAAAAAATAAAAGAATTGCTTTAGAATATAAAAAGTGAAATAAATGATTTAGCGTTTGACACTATAATTTTGTTTACTGTGCCTCGGTTAGCCTAAGAAGTATTACTTATATCATATATTTTATGCAATGTATACTATTAATATATAGATACAAACTCAACTAATTGATTTCTGTTGCAAAACGTTTTATATCAATAATATTCTGCTCTCGTTACATTATTTTTTTTTTTTTTTTTTTTTTTTTGTTACGTTTGCCTTTTTGTAATATTTTTGAAAGTCTATTAATGTCAAAATATAATACGGCTCAACTAGAAATATTTAAAAAATTCAATATTTCCTAAGCGTATGCACGGTTATGGAGATGGTCATAACCATAGAACTTCGTTCTAAATCCTTTGTGAAATTTGAAATACAATATATTATAATATAAATGATATAGGTAGATATCCAATAAATATATTTTGTTTATTTTATATAAAATTAGTCTTTATGTATTAATTGACATTATATTATCATCATCTGTTATTGGAATACCGAATACACCACAGCAAAGAAAATGTTGAGGGGAAAAAACGATAAAAACTAGACTAAAAAACAAGACACTACTGATAAAATTGAAAATATATTAAACAATATTGGAATAGGAATTACAATATTACTCTACTAAGATCAAAATAAAATTATATGATGGAATATTAATAATTATTATGTTTTATTAAAGTACATTTTAAAACGGTAAATTCTACAAGCATGAAAATTTTGGACAGAAACATGTACACATTTTAGCTTGCTGTGCAGCTAGATTATTTTCGACATTCAATAAAATATGCAAATGCTAACAAATTTCGTTTACTGATAACAATATGGTAATTTTTTTACTTTGCCCGTTGATATTTTTCAATATTGTGTGCATAAACTCGTAGAAGTATTTTACGTTTTCCTGCAACTATTTGACCACTATACAATTGGGCATTGTACACATTTCATATAGGTATACTTTACCTCAAATACTATCTGCACATTATGAACAATGAACACACGTGGAAATGTTCCGAACGATAATAATGTTATGTTATAAACTACTTTGGAAGTTAAACGTATATTTACCGGTATAGTTGCCGTGACATTTGCAGTGATAAGTGTGCGTGGCTTTCCGGATGACGCACGTGCCACCGTTGACGCAAGGGTTGGGCTTGCAAGACTCGATTCTACTGTTGTTGGCCGTTTCCGGAATCTTTGCCAAGGCGACAAGTTTCTTTTTGGATTCAGCGTCTATATATATGGTATGAGCGAAATAAATGGTACCGAATTAAATTTTATAATGATATGTATATAGATATTTTATTGACGACCGCGCAGTGTATAGAGATAATATGCAACAATTAAACAAATATCAGACGTTATATATAATATTATTATAAACCGCGCTCGGCGGTCCGTAGGTCGTCTGAGAGTTGGTGATAAATTTCAGATTACGAGGGTGTGGTAATTTTTGTTTGTTCTTTTTTTTTTTTTTTTAGATATCAGTTTGTGACGAAAAAACTTTTGAAAAAAAATAACATTTTCAAAAGCAATATTTGTGTTCAATCACAAATCTAAATATATAGGAGGACTTGCCGTATTAAACTTTCGGATCTTTAATATTACCCGGGGCTATTTCAGCGGAAAATAGCTAACCGAAAAATTCTCAAAAACAATATACATTGTTAATGTAACCACAATAATTGTTTCTTTGAATCGTTTAGGAAGAAAGAAAAAAATAAACGTTTCACGGGCGACCAAAGCTACTATACTCGGATAGAAATAGACCAATTCCTAAAAAATATAACATGGGAAATAATATGATACGAACCGGGTTTGACGTTCACTGAAATGTTTGCGGATACTATATCCATCGCTGGTTTCTGACCGTACACGACGACTACGGACATAGAGTTGAGAAACGAAGTGATCGATATCGGCACGGATTTTGGCTGTTCAACGTTTTCACACAGCAGCCACCACGTGCCGTTCTCAGCGGCGTAATGATCGTGGATTTCGATGACGGTCGTCGACTGCTGACCCGGACATACGGTACGGCCCAACGCGGTGTCCACTGGAAAAATATATCAATTGAAAACAATGTTCACGTAGAGAATCGGTTTAGAAAGAGAGTTGGGCCCGAAGTCAGTGGCGTTTCCAGGAGAATTCTGGTCGGGGAGGTATGTATAGCTCGTCCCCTAAAGTTTTAAGAAAATAAAAAATTTATTTCCATGGTCTATAAAAGTTACTCCAAATAAAAATGTATACAGCCGTACCTATATGAACCGAAACCTAAAATAAAATCTCAGCATCACTGTGCTATACTCATTGGAGACCCTGGTTAAAATAACACTGTGTGTAAACACGTTATCAGCCCCCCCCCCTAAAGAAAAATCCTGGCCACGCCACTGCCCGAAGTTATGGGTTGTGACATACTATGTCGATGACGACCACTGCTATTACATTATTATATAGGTATCAGGAATAATATATAGTTGTATAGCCATTAACCCGCCGAGACGGATATTTATATTTATATTTGAAAACTCTTACTTTGCGCCGGCACCACGCGGTGGAACTGCAATTGGATATTCTGTCCGACCGAAGCCAACAGCCTCTGTTTGTACCGCAATTTGGGAAAGTGCATAGGTAACGGATAATTTAACCTGTACATGAATCCGGACGTGTCATTCTGCAGCACGATCGCTCGTTCTTCGTCAAAGTCCACCACTAAAAAATGGGTTATTTTTACGAACATATAATTACGTACTACACTGGCGTATAGTTTTAACAGTTGTCGGCCGTGTATACGTACCCATTTTGTACACTATTTTGAAACCCCTCCCCCTGGGCAAGCGGTTCGTTGAGTATTCGATGTTGACGCTCTCGCCTTCCGACAAAAACGCACCGTCGTTGATCGAGTTCCGATATTTGAACGGAGTTATATTGTCCGCAGTTCTCGACAGATACAACTTGACCGTTTGTGATTCGTCCAAGTTGTAGTCGACGAAATCGATCCATATACGGTGGCCGACTGCAAGATCCAAAAATGCATATTAACACAGCAATCGAGAGTCACCGGTGGTGCAATAATAATATAGTGTTTTAAAACGAGATGGTTTAATAGCCGTCGGCCCTCACCCGGTGCCAGTATCATGGTGACGCAGTTGAGATTTGGAAGTATGAAGTTAGGATAGTTCGGGCTGACGACTTGGCCTTCGAGGGCGGACAGTGTTTGCGACGGACAACCGGACATGTCGACGGTGTTCCACTGGAGATGAAAACCCGAACTGGACACGGAGTAGTCGGAATGGAAGTGCACGTACGCCTCATTCAAATCGGTAACGAAGATGTAACTGTAACAATACGTCATTAGAATTCGACATTGTAATTCAACGTCGTTGTGGATCTTTGTTTATTGTGGGGGGGGGGGGGTTGTTTAACAGACAAATATTTATAATATTGACTATTGTAGCAGTAATAATAACAATACAATCTCACTCTTCCAGATGATTTCCGCGGTAACCGCAAACCGTCATTGTTCGGTTTTCACGTTCTTTCGGTTCCACCACGGCTACGAAATCGTAAAGGCAATCGGCTTGAGGTTCGATGTTTATGGAATCGAACTGGAAAACGATGCGCGACTGGTACGGACCGACCACGTGTATCCAATAGTCCAAGTTGTGATAATAGTTGGCCGGATAATTTAACGACGTTATTATCCCTTTTACGCCCGTCATTGTGGTGTTTAAATTGTAATGATCCGATAATTCTAGTTTCAATCATTTTAACAATTTACAGTGATATTAGCGAATGCATCACGTATTGACATTATTAGATAATATGATATTTTAATTTGTTAATTCTGACATTATCAGGATTACCTATGTGTCATATAATCAGCCAGTCATGGGTAAATCATTACATTTTACTTAAAAAGGTTTTAATAATTATTACAATAAATTTCATTAATATATTAAACTTACTATATAATATTGATTGGAAATCAGATTCGATTATAATTATAGTTTTTGTAAGAAAATCGATCGGAGAGTAAAAGATTTAACTTATATAGTATACCTGTCTTAAACAAAGTTTAATGTTCAGTTTTGGAACGTACGTTTTTCTAATATTAAGGTGATTGATTAATTCGTTGTACATCTGATTCTGTTTTTGATTATTTTTTGACAAACAATTTGTTGTTGTTTAATAAAAGCGTATAGACAATTTTAATTTTTAAAAATATTTGTTTAAGCAATAAAAAAAATTGTATCTTATAACAATTCGAATGTCGGGGCTCGTGCACTCGACCGGGTTTCAATCTAAAATATTGATCGATACCTTCGTTCCCTCGTTGGGAATTTTGTCGCTATGTAAACAAATTTATTTTTTATTTTTACCGAGAAGGTTTTTTCATTAGCCGTCCAGTCAACATCACCCTAAAGCTAACACATGCTTGTTTCATGTATTATAGTTCTATCGTTACATTATGATTTATGATATTATTAATAACAGTGACGACGCATGTCGTACACATAATATTTTTATCGTTATTATCATTATGAAATTTCGGTACTTACTTGTTTGATTTTTTTTACATATATACCCTCCAACCGTGTTGCAGTCGTTGGCTGTCCAGTAAAGGCCTCTGGGTAGATTAACAGGTGGCGATGATAGCCAACTAATCGCGAGACAGATATCCTTGTACGGCAATGCGTTCGCGGCGTCGGTCGCCAACCAAGCTGTGGGCATACGGTTGCAATGACCATTTATTTTGTTGTATGATTAACATTTTTTTTTAGGATATACCTAAAGTAAACAACGAACCTGAAAACGTTTCTGTCGAGTTGTCCACCCAGTACCAGGATTTGTCATTCCACGCTCCGCCCAACCAATAAATCGCTGATCTGCTGTCCGTCGACTCCCGGATAAAAGATTCTACGAACTGTTCTTCCTCGGCATTATGAACGCTCGTCAATTCCGCCTTTGCAAACGGAATAACACACAGACACGTAAGAATTTAAAAAATGTTTTCCGTGCCTTTACGCGCCTATATCAATAATAATAATAATATTGTAGTAGGTACTTTGATTCCGTTGCAGATACTCCTGGCGGTGTGCCAAGACACTTCCGGGTAACTGGCAAACAAATAACACGACCCATTGAACATTTGCTGTCTCGCGTCGTCACACTCGTTGTTGACTGTTCATCACCCACACACACAACATAAGAAGCGATTAACGAATAATATTTCAGCAAACCACCTGTGATACCTAGGTATCTGCACGAAGTCGAAGTGCACCACTTACCGTGTTCGGCGGATACTCGAGCCTTGAAGCCGCTGAACGCGTGCGAATAATCGGATACAAAATGTATCCTCAACTTGGGCCTCTTCGTGACAAACCTAGTTAGTTTGAGTATGTCGCTCTTGTCACCACAGTGTTTAGGGCCCTCGTCGTCGTCACCGGGAATTAATTCAACGTAATCGTAACTGCAACTGTAAACATATTATTACAAACATAACATATACTTTAATAATATGTCAACCGCAGCAATCATATTCCATTGATATCAATGATTATATCCATTACCTACTCTTGGACTATAATATAATAAATAATTGATAAAATATACAAAAATAACCATAATCAAAATTTGTATCAAAAAAATTTCAATGTTTCACGTTTTTCTGAAAAATGTCATACTTCAAACACTAATTTTAAGTAAAACAAAATAATATCAAATTTTATGCTGAGATAGGGTTAAGCAGTGTTGTGTTAATATGTTACTGATGAGTACCTATAGGCAGCAAATGTTTGACTAAAAATATTGTTATAACATTATAATAATATTATTCGTGATTATAATGTTATTACAATATTATTTTGATGTTATTATAATGTTGAAATTTCAAAATGCTACTAATATATATTGAGTATTGTGTGAAATTTATTGTAGTGTAGTAATATTTAATTTTAATTTTTAATAGCCAAAATAAAATTGTGAAAAGTGTTTTCGTCTAAATCAAAAAATTATGCACCATACAAAAAAAAAAATACTAAATTGTGAAAAGTGGGTTTATGTTAAAAATAAATCCATGTAAAGGCAAAGCTTGATAGCAGAATATGACAAATAAATAAATTTAAAATTTCATCGAACACAGCCATGAACTCGACCTAAGTAAATGTGAAGACGATTTCGACATTTTATCAAGAATTATTGCAAAACGTGTACAAATTTATTCAATATACTTTCCCAAGAGAATTTGCAATTAAAAATGTAATGAAATTCAGCGTGTCCATACTTAATTAATAATTAAACAATGGTACTTGATTTTTACTTTTAAAGTTATGCATACTTATATTTTTTTTTATAAATAAATAATAAATCATACAATACACTTTAAACATTAAAAGTTACACAGTTATACACTTATATACCAATATTCAATTATAACTAAAATAATTATAATGTACATGGAAATGTTCAAAACTCGGAGAGATAATGTTCATGATGATCTGAGTAGATATTAATGTCCTTTATATTATATATATATATAATGCCCTGCAAACTGTTATTGAAACATGAATTTGAACTTACGTCGATTCGTTTTCCAACATGAGTTCTTCGAATTCAACTTCGATCTGATAACCCCTAGGCACTTCTACGCTGAAAGTGCAATCTTGGTTGTCAGGATAAGGTTGTGGAAAACCTGGGCTCGAGACTGAGGCGAATCTCATCTCGCTGGTTAGTTTCATCGTAACATTACAACTCGATTCGTCCGGATCTGATACAAAAATATATACAAATAAAACTTATAGTCTATAGGCAGAACAGTTGGGAAATTTTTTCTCACAATTTATTGAAATTAAAAAAAAACATCGTATGAATGATGGTATAGACTATAGACTATAGAATAAAACAAACGTTACCATAATCGTTTAAAGAGGTGTGCTGTTGCGTTTGGCATAGAAATCGATTTTTCACAGAGCAATCGCGGTCGTTCCAAGTGTAGGACGAATTTCGATTAAAGTACTTGAGCAACCGGTTTTGGGGCCTGTACACTTGTCTGAGTTCGACACAGTCCTGTCTACTAAGTCCGTCGTCGTTAGGCTGTTTTGAATTCGGACCACTGTACGGTTGGTGTATGTGTCCTTGGTACCAGTCTACAAAATAAACGAGAAAACAGATCGTACCGATATTTAGTTGGATAACCTTCGCACAGTGCTCGAATTGGTGGGGGGGGGGGTGCGCAGAGGAACGGAGTTTCAGTTAAGGTTATCATTTATCGGTGTTTTTTAATTTTTAAATTTTAAATGTTTTTATACTCATCATAATACGTGGTCTATTTTGAGTCAAAAATAATAATTATTAATTTAATGTGTTGCTGAAAAGTGGTATTCAAAATGTATGTAAGGCAGGAGCGTAAGGGGGGGGGAAGGACCGTGTTCAGTAATTGTGCCCTTGAAACGCAGTTTTTAAATCGTTGGATTGAGCTCCTCTACTTAATTTTTCCCAATTCAAGCACTGCCTTCGTATTCATTTTATTCTATGCGGGACCGTTCACCACTTGACTTACTGGAATAAGTGAACGGCGACGAGTCTGTCCATTTGAAAAATCCTTCGTTGTTCATGTCAGTAGCTCCGATCCAAATAGGGCGTTGTCACTGTAGCTTGGGCCTTAAAAAAAAAAGAGAAAAATCGTATTAGTCAACTGCTTAGAGTTCATACTTCATATATAAGACACATCATCCGTGTTAATCGATTATATCCACGTCATTTGAGCTAATATCCAAGGTACAATAATTACAAGTTAATAAACAAACATCTTTTATGCATCAACAATAGAAAATATGAGAGCTATTTCCGGTTTATGTAGTTATGTATAAACGTAAAAATATACAATATATTATATAGACCCATAATGAATGTTTAAATATTGCATAGGTACGCGCTTACCACAAGACGAAAACCTGTGTTTTTTATTTAATGTATTCACATCATTAAAATATATGCATCACTCGTCATTTAAAACACAACTATTTTAGTAGGTTAATACCCTATAAACCATATTCATTATCTCATCCATACAATTTTTCCATTTTGGTGAGTTTTTCTGAATTATCGATTTCAGTATATACCGTCAAAATTAAACTGATTGCTAATATTTTTTACTCCTGTTAAAATTAAACTGGTTAGTACTATTTTTTGCTCTCGTTTTTGAGTCGTTAACTTAGACTACCTACCTACTACAAGACTGTCTCTTGTTATTTAATATCGTTGATCTAAAATATCTTGGTTTCCACAGTCAACTTAAACACTAGCTCAAATGAATAATGATCATTTCAAAACAGTCGTTAATCAAACCTTTTGGTATTTAGTGTGATGATAAGCAAGTAAATAATTATGTAATAATACGATTGGTTGTAAATCTCATAGTATATCGAATTAACGTCTTAGTAGGTTAGTAAAATGAATATAATATAGTGTTGTGACAATATGAAATGTTATACTAAGTTTATCTGACAAAATATCATCTATTCAGGTCTAGGTATATTTGACTATCCTTCGTTAAAAGTTGAAACAGTAGTTCGTTTTTTAAGCCACATATTTTAAGATCTACGATAATCTACATTGTATTCTGTCACATTTTTTTTCATTGTTGCATAATAATACAAAACGATTTAATTCATATTTTCAATAACACTGTCGAAGTATTGGATTATAAGACATCACACTGATAAACTTAAGATTTTAAGATTATTTACAGTTAGGTATTTTCAATTATAAGCTAAAACAGTGTTGGTAAAAATAAAAAAAAAAATTATAATTATAATAGCACGAAAATTGGTGAGTGGTGGTGACCACGACCATATCTGATTTGATAACAACTGCACCGGCACACGACTTCAAGTTAATAAATCATCAGGTGGCGCTCGGAAAGTTTCAACATTTGGAATATAACCCGCGAGAGCTGATCATTGTCACACACACGTACGAACTACCACAGACAATTCCTTATATGAGTGTATAAAAGGCGACAGCAATACCGCAAACACATGCCAAAGCAGTAATAAAATAGGAACAGCCGTTGACGGAAATTCGTCAAAAGGCTAAAAACGACGTATTGCGTCGCCGTTGCAGTGCGGAGACGCTTATTCGTCAAGTCATATGTCGTCAGTAAGTGAGAAGACACGCAAGCATCGATACTCAATAATCTAGACGACACCTGATGCGAAAGGTCGTGCCGGGGGTTGGCCTCGATCTCGGAGTGGGTGGTTGGTCGCAAGTCAGAAGCGAGGGCGACTTTATTACGCGAATTCCGAACAATTTTTTCCCCTTTCGGTTATCGCAGTAGATTAATAATGATATATGTAGTAAATATAGTTGTCGGCTTAAAATAATGTTACTCAGAGTCTTTGGGACATGTTAACAATAACTGCGACTGTATAGAGTAAACGTTTAGAATTACTTACTTTTCCCCACATTGTGTTTTTGCAATTTTTTTTCGCCAATATTCTGTACTGAATTTGTACGGATTCAAACTATAAGAATCTAAATCTGTACGAATTTATTCTTGAAACTGTACTTTTCTATAGCTCTCCCCCACTTTAATTCTCGTACAGAGTCAAGAATAAATTCGTACAAATTTAGGTTTTTATCGTGCGAATTCATACAAATTCGGTACAAAATAAAGGCAAAAAAAAAATTGCAAAAACACAATGTGGGAGGGGGGAGCTGGGAAAACGTACGTTTTAGAATTTGTCATGTGGACGAGTGTATCTATTATATAGGTAAGTATACCTACATAATATTGCAATTATGCGTGATATTCAAATAATTGAAGAGTAAAATGCCTACTCAATGGGTTATTGTTATTTGTTTACAGGCCACAGCGGATGGTTAACCAGTGACGGCACGTGGACTTATACTTTGAGTGGCACACTGACACTGCTACTGCGTAAAATAAATTATCTTATATTAAACAGTAATAATATATGACTGAAAGATGGGTGAAAAATTAGATGGATTGTAAAAAATAATAATTTTACATTAAATCGTTCGTTCCATCTCCGATTATGGCAGCTAGTGTACTCGTTAATTTTGATATTGTCTATTAAAAAAATATTTAATATTTAATATGCTATATATGCCTGTATATTATTTCCTTTTAAAATGTTTTTAATATGTTGTTCTACATTTTTTTCAAACAACTAATATTTTGTTTTCTCGGAGATCAAGTGAATGATACTCATGAAAGACGAAACTCATCATTTAGTACGCGTTACCTAATGCCAGAACTCACCTCCCACCTCATCACGTAAACATGAAAGGTTGCTTCTCGGAAAATTCAAGGTTTCACAGACCATAATAAACATCACCGATTCAGAACACGTAGGAAATTAGCACAATATATAGTACCCTACGCGTATATTGATTTTCTTACCTATTGATCAGTATCGTGTCGATGAGCATTTGCGTGCGATGACTGTCTATGCTGGCCAAGTGACCTCCGCCGCCGTTTTGCGAGCAATACTCTTCGGCGTCTTCCCAGTTGAGCAATTCGTTGACGATGGTCAGACACCGGCCGGCCCGGAGCGACACCGAACCGTACGGACACTGGGACACCACTTCCGGTATCGGTTCCGCCCGGTACGTCACCACCAGCGTCGGCACGTGCGTCGTAGCGGACGACGACTCCATCAGCACCACGTTCGTCTCCGACACCATGGACATCTGTCGTCTGGGACCGTCTGCCGGCGCGCAGTAGAACCACCCGATCGCACCGTCGGTGAGCCGGAACAGAGTTCCCGGGCACGTGGTGGTCGACTGGTGGATCGGAAGTGTGTCGATCTGTGACAATACGGAAACGATAAAGCGGTATCACTCCGCAGTGACGTGTCGAAAGTATTATTTTGGAGCGATTGCTCCTTAAAAATTGTTGGGTGTGCTTCCTGCCACAAAATACCTACCCGCCTAGGTGGCTAGGTATATAGTAGAAATATCATATCCGACTATACAAATGGTTACAAATGTAGGCAAATTTTGTAAAATTTTTTGCTATGTTGGAAATGCCGTTACAAACATCTAGGTACCTTGTATACATTTTTGCTTCTCACCCAAAAGGAGTTCAACACGCCACTGTCACTCCGTGTTTATAATACTTTATATGACTTGGGCGGATCCGGATTAAGGGCCACCACGGAGCAAACAACTATTGCCCCAGCACAAAAATATGGTAACTTGTTTAAGAAAACAAAACGGTTATTATTTAACGTCGTACGATTCTCGTGTACATATTATTTTTTTCTAAATGTAAAAGTAATATTTTAACTATTGAGAAAAACAAATTATTCATAAATAATTAGTGTGACATCTAATTTTATTTTCGAGGTAGGTACCCAGTAACCTAGTTTAAATGTTGCCGTCTGGAGCAAACGCTCCTTTTGCACGCGTAGGTTATAATGCGACCCTGAACTTAGGAAGGATTGGTATAATATAGTCGATAAAAATATTATATGCATCTACCTACGGAATATTACGGTAGTGAATCCAGCGATCCAAACCTGCTATTATATTATGATATCGTGCGTCATAATTGTTTATGTAAATACAATAATATAGTACAAAAACTGTATGTTTTTACCGGGCACAGTGCAGTAAATAATAAAATATATACAACCGACTTTGGGTAACCACAGGTAACCTGCAAGTGTCGTCGTCGGACCGGAGGTGACCGAGACTCGTTTCACCTACTCAACTTACAAGGTCCATGTCCCCGGCATCCCCACTTTGAGCTTTCGTAAAAAAACTCGGGGCGATCGTTTGTACTCTGTTTGTACTGGTTTGTACCGCAAAAGTCGTCGTTTGTACCGAAAGCTGTACAAAGTTACAAACGTTTTAAGTTGGGGGTGCTGGAGACATGCCTGCACCCCCACTTTGAACTTTCGTAAAAAAAACCGGGGCGATCGTTTGTACCCTGTTTGTACCGGTTTGTACCGCAAAAATCGTCGTTTGTACCGAAAGCTGTACAAAGTTACAAACGTTTTAAGTTGGGGGTGCTGGAGACATGCCTGCACCCCCACTTTGAACTTTCGTAAAAAAAACCGGGGCGATCGTTTGTACTCTGTTTGTACTGGTTTGTACCGCAAAAGTCGTCGTTTGTACCGAAAGCTGTACAAAGTTACAAACGTTTTAAGTTGGGGGTGCTGGAGACATGCCTGCACCCCCACTTTGAACTTTCGTAAAAAAAACCGGGGCGATCGTTTGTACTCTGTTTGTACTGGTTTGTACCGCAAAAGTCGTCGTTTGTACCGAAAGCTGTACAAAGTTACAAACGTTTTAAGTTGGGGGTGCTGAGACATGCCAGCACCCCGACTTTGAGCGTTGGTATAAAAAAATCGGGCAAAATACGACTCATTCACCACTCAACCAACGCACTAATCGCAATATTTATCATGATCTTAGTTACGTACTTTTTGTTTTTCATAAATTTGAAAAATGTTTTTCTAAACACCATTGATCTAGCTTTGAGTTGAAGGTCCATTGGTCTTCCTAGCACCCCCGATTTTAATGTTTTTTTTTGGTTTTTTTTTTTTTCAATAATGGGCTCTTCAATTATAATATATTAATAAAATTTGTAACAAGATAGGTAATATCAAAATTATTAAAACAAATGTACTTGGTTTTAAAATTTAATATATTTTAATGAGGATTGAGTGAAACAAAATATTGAATTTTATCATATAATAGTTTGTAATGTATGGTATGAACGTACTCAAATTAAAGTTTATTTATTTTGTTCAAAAATTTTAGCGTCAGTTTTTGAGTAACTTTAATGTTGAAATAGTTTTGTTCAACCGTTGTATTTTTACGACATTAATAATTACCTTTTTATAACTTGTTTCAACATGCATATTATAGTTTCTATTATTGATGTTTAATTTAATATGCATATCTGACTAAACAAGATAGCTTGTTGATGAACTTAACATTTTTTCTTGAACCTTGATAGGAGGCATCTTTTAATAAACAGTTATTGTAATTTTTACCATTACTGTTTTATTTTTTTATTTTGGTTGTACCTCATGTAGTTAAAACACTTGAGCTATGGTTTCACATTGCTTTTAAAATAGGTATAGAAAAAAGTATTATTATTTGCTACATTTTTATTCTTTTTGTAGCTTATGCCATGGAAACTTTTATAATATAAATTAAAATTTTTAAAGGAATATTCCTGAAATGAATACTGTTACAAAAAAACAACAACTGTAAACGTAAAATACACTTATAGAATTATATTTAACACAAAAATATAACTAAACCATTTAAAACCCATTGAAAAATAAACATTTTAAATTATTTGTTGCAAAATAAAATAACAACTAATATATATCTAACATAAAAATTCAAAATACTTATTTTTTCTAATTAATGATAAAAACAAAAAGATAGGTATAACTGTTAATAATTTTAAAATTTGTATTGTATCTAATGATAAGTTGTCTAACCGGAATCTAATTTGACTTTTTCACGCTTCAGCCAACGCACTTATCGCAAAATTTATCGTGATCCATACTTTTTAAATTTAATTTTTTAATTCAAAAAATCTTTTTCTAAACACATTTTTGATGTTTAATAATAATGGTGTACATTTTATAATTTAAAATGATTATATTATATTGTTATAACTTATAAGTTATAATATTCAATAATTATATAACCCTTCTTTTAACATATTCACCTATTATAACTACGAATAATATATAATAAACGTTAAATAATTTAAATATACTTTTCAATCATAATATTTAAGAAGCTAATACACTAAACATTGTTTTTATTAAAACAATTTATATATTTGTTTAATTTTATATAATATTATTAAATGTTTTGAAAACCATTATCAAATAAAAAAAACCGGGGAAGTGTCGCTGTGCTGTATAGGTGTCGAGTGATGGAGTGAACTGTGATGGATGTATTATTATTAAACTTGAATTACAGTGTTAATAATTAAGTCACTGTTATTAATACGGTAATTTCGAGGTTTTATTAATATTCTTATTTCAAATGTTCTTTCGAAGAATTTGGAAATATTTGAACTTCAAACAATAATTAAACAAATTGCGCATATTATGTATTTTAATAATTTTTTAATGACCGTAAGACTAACTTATGAAAACCTTCGTATTAAATTTTCAAGTATTTTAACTCAGCAATACAATATTTATGACAATAACAATTTGAAAAAATTTAATATTTCAAATGCCTGTATATAGCTTAAAAAATAGAGAAATATTTTGAAAAGAAAATTATGTAAAGCTTATTTTTAAGCTATTAAGATATTTAAAGGGATTTGAAATAGGTGGTTTATGTTATTTTTTTAAATAGGTATTGGTAATTTTTTTTTGCTTTGTCAAATTTTCTTTCAGATTCTGGAGATTTTGTAAGAATCTACATAAGTTTGTCTTAGGTACAGTCATTCAAAAACAGTTAAAATAAATACGTGCAATTTATTTAATTTGTGTTTGAAGTTCAAATATTGACGACATTTTATAATATATGAGAATTTGAATTTAAATTGTACTAAAAATCGTCAAAATTACATTATTTATAACAGAAACTTAATAATTAACAATTTAAAGGTAATAAAATTAAATACACTAATCATTATTCTTTATATAGGTACAATGCAGGTGTAGCAGCCTCTTAAAGAATTTAAAAATAAAATAAGGTTATCAATAGACTATAATTTAGGTAGGACTGTCACTGCACATTAGACAACTGTGAACTGGGTCTTATCTGAACCTGTCAAAGAAAACCGATAACCAGTAATTTATAATTACCATACACAAAGCACCGTATACGATACATAAAAAGGTACTGATCAAAATTCAAAGGTTAGTATTTTTTTGACCAGTTCGGCAGGACTATTGTATTCGTTGGAACTTGTGACAATATCGTATAGACTATAGCCAATCGAATACGGTGTTTGTATATAAATATGTATAATGTATATACCAAATAAAATGATAAACATGGACAAAATAATAAAGATATATTTAAGGATATTTTAGACAAATTTCAGATCTTTTTTTCATTCCCGTAATTGCCTTCGTTGTGAACAGTCCGTACAAATAGTTTTATACAGTAGGTAATAGGCATTATGAGTTTTTAATGTGTCGTACTCTTTGTGCTGTGTAAAGTTTCTTAAATTTTTGAATTGCTCAATTCATCAACTCAATCGACTTCATAATCTATCTTGGTAAGTAAATTAAAATATTTTTAAACATTTTAACTATAATATATACAGGTTGTACCACGATGTTCTGACATATGGAATAATTTATTTGATGTTCAATATTTTTAAATATATTTATTTATTATTATTAATCATACTGAAGAAAAAATTTATATTTGATAAAAGAAATATTGATTTAATATAAAAAATCTAAAAAGAAATAAGAAGAAAGCGGAAAGTAAGTGGATGTTAATATCATTAATATTATTACGAAAAACGATTCTGAGTGGAGACGGTTTATCAGTGTAGGATATGTTATTATATATTAATTATATTGTAATTATTTAAAAAATAAAAAAAATGTAGATAGGTACCTATAAAATGAATTCCAAATTAATCAAATCAGATTAATTATGTAGGTACACAACAACCCAACTCACTCACTCATTCACAGTAGGTATATACAATTTATTATAAAGTATTAAGGCCATTAACGACATTCACTATTAATATTAGAATATAAAGTATACTCTAGAAATTAAAGTACCCACGAATAATATTTTTAAATTAAAACTATAACTAAAATTGTATTATTCTTGATGATTGTATATGTAATTTAATTCAAATTAGAAGTTAAAATAACTATAAAAAAATGTGCTCTGCTGTGCAGTAGGTTACAAGTGGGTCACTGTATAATGCAGGGATTCTCAACCTGGGGGGCGCACCCCAAGGGAGGCGTGATAACATTTCAGGGGGGGGGGGGGGCGTGAACACATGTTGAAAAAAAAAAATAAACGAAAAATTTGCAGTTTTCTATGCCGTGCCAAAAATCTATTAATTGTGTGTAATTGTAAATTATAAGTTATTTACATATTAATCCAATAACCAAAATTAAAGTATGTGATGAAGCATTTTCAATTTTATGAACTAGATTTTATATTATTATATTTTTCAAATATTTTATAGCTCCAAGCTTTGTATACACGTCATATTAGGTACATGCCATATTACATTTTATTTTTTTTATTTTATTTTAGGTTAAAATGCCTAGAAAGTCTAAGATAGATGTATGCCGTCTTTTAAAAATCTTAATAGAAAACAAAAACTCTATTATTGATGAGAAAACACAAGAAATAGCACCTCCAAGTCATCCCTGTTGGATAGATATTCAAAAAAAAATTGATTATGCTATTTCAGTAAAATATATTTATGCTATTGTGAAATTAGATAGGTATGATATTTTAAATAAATTAGGGTTGAAAACACCACATAATATTATTGAACCAGAACTATCAGTTAATTTTAATACTGAACAATACGACGACATTGATAGCAACAAATATTGCGAAACTACAGAGGAAGATGAAAGCATACTAACATTTAATATCACATTATCAAAAGAAGAGTGGCGAAAAATCTATGATCCTTCATCAAGTGTAAGGTCTTACCATAGATCAGACAATAAAAACAATTATAGAAATTATGAAACTTTAACACCTTATATTTGGACGCCAATTATAAACGAACATTTTTTTGAACAAACCAGATTATCGTGTGCTTTGATTTATAAATATGCCAAAATTTATTTAAATGGACAGGTTTTTCTTGATATTATTGGCCATTGTTCTATTTGTATGAGCAATTTTAAAGGTGTTGTTATCGATAAACCTGAATCTGAATCACGTGTAGTTATTAATTGTTCATATAATGGACATTTTAATTCATGTAAAAGTGGAAGAAAACGAAGAATAATCGGGGAAAAACGAGATTATTTCTTGGATAAGTTAATAAAAGAAAACCAGTCTGCAGCCTATGTTCAACGTGTTGAAGCCAAAGACATAATGCATTATGGAGAAGCTGAACCAAGCCATTTGCCATCAAAAAATGCACTACGAGTTATGAAATATAAGGCGAACAAAAGAAATCGAATACATGAAGACCCAATTACTGCTCTTTCGTTATTAAAAGCATCTTTACCTTATAATAACATAATTCGAGATATAGGCTATGATAGGTTTTTTGTTCACTATTGGTCATCCACAGAAATTAATTCTTATCGTTTGTATGCTAAGAACCATAAATTACCTACAATAAGTATTGATGCTACAGGTGGATTAGTGCAAAAACCAATTTTAATATCTGGTCGTCAGACTTCAAACATTTTTCTGTATCAAATTGGAGTTAGAGACACTAAAAATAAGTGTCAGTTTTCTGTAGGACATATGTTGTCTGAACGTCATGACAATAACAGTATTGCGTATTGGTTGACCGAGTGGTTGAGAAATGACATTTCACCGCCAAAAGTTATTGTCACTGACCAATCATTAGCATTGATGATGGCTGCAGTCAAGACATTTACTCAGTATTCCAACCTTAATAAATACATAAGCATTTGTTCTTCATTGATTCAAAAAGAAATAAATATAGAAGTTCCTAATTGTATGATAAGAAATGATTTTAACCATGTAATGCATTTATTAAGTTCATGGATAGAATTCAAATCAGTTTCACGTCGGGTGAAAAATTTTTATTTAAGAGCATTTGGTTTAATAATAGTGAACACTGACTTTGAAGATATAAAAATATTATTAAAGTTAATATTTACAGTATGCTTAAATGAAACAGAAGGTGTAGATAATAATGGTCAATTGACAGAGTGTGAAATGGCTAAGACATACCTAAAACACCGTATAGCGACACACACTACCGATGTTGAAGACATTATTGAAGAAATAAAAAATAAAGAAGAAGACGATGATTTGATGTACACAAACTTTCATGAGAAAATTACTAGTACAACAATATTTCAACAAATATTAGATATTTACGAGAGTTGTATTACGAATAGTAATCAACAAAGTAATTGTGGTGATCATGATAATTTACAATTTAGTCCAGGAATCGCGAAAAAATTATTAGACTTTTGTAAACTTCTTCCCTGTTGGTCTGCTGTGATGGTCCCAATATTCAATTTTGGAAATCCAACAGAGACAAGTGCGACGTCTGAAAGCTTATTTAATGACCTAAAATCGAATGTATTAAGACATAAAACATTGCCATTACGTATTGATGAGTTCATCACTATCCACATAAACTCAATAATTGGTTCAATAAATCTAATTGGCGCGAAAATGTATCCTGAAAAAAAGGAAATTGAGGATGTTAAAATAAATACTAACGATTTATCTACACCAAAAATATTTGAAGAAACCGAGAGCATTCATGAGGAGGAGAAAAGTGATGGTAACCAAACTGAGGTTGAAAATTGGAGGGGCTTAGGACTAGACAAGTATGAACAAAATAATAAAAAAAGTAATTACTTGGACAAAGATCCAAACATTTTATATTGTAATGAAAACTCTAAAACAAAAAGTCCAATTATAGGATTATTAAAAAATGGAAATTCATCTCATTTAAAGTCAATTACCATTGAAAAAAATTGTTATTTGTTTACAAACACTTGTGCTTTTGATAGCGTAACACAAGTAATGATGACCGCATTTTCCGATAGTATTGTTTATGCCGATTTTATAAGTAAAAATAAAATGTATGTATTTTTTGAAATGATATCAAATATGTTAAGAGATGGCATTAACGTACAAACATACCGAAAAAGAGGTATATTATGTAGAAATATTATGCCCAATATCAATCCAGTTATTGATGTGCCAGGAGGACTTAAGAAAATCAACTGTGCGTGCACAATCCAATTTATAATTGAAAAGTTATTTACAAATTTTCCATCTATCAAAGAGACAACACTATGCTCCGAGTGCACCTTCGAACTTAATAGAAATAGACCATTTATAACTGCTAATTTACCAACTGAAACATTGGAATTTCTTTTAGATACTATAGATGCTATTGTTTCAAATCCTTCAAGTACAATTAATAATATATGTCGATCTTGTTCCAAAGGACAATTGATGAAAAATTACGAATTAGGAGAACACATTTTCATCGAACCAGTGATGAACACTGGTAATATTAAACCTGATGATACAAGTTTGAATTTATCAGTTGTATTAAATGATATTCCAAAAATGATCAATATACAGAGCAAAACTTTTAATATCAAAGGAATAATTGAGTACATACCACCAGCGACAAAAAATATAAATTCAATTGGACATTACATTGCATACACTTATAGACACCATACAGATAATTGGGAAAAAAATGATGATTTGGGAAATTCAATACGGAGTGTACGGCATAATACTCGAGCAAATCATTGTCAAATATTAATTTATACAGTTTAAACTTTAAAGGTAAACTAATTCTTAAATTAATGAAATTTAAATAAGTGTATTTGGTTTTTATACTAATTTTTAAATCGCAAATTCAACTTTAGTTTTATTTTTTTTTAGTAAGCTTTTTATTCATTGCATATACACAGATATCATTTTGTTTGTTATTTATAAACTTATTATTTTTTTATTTTCATATGGAATTTAATACTATGTTTTATTTACAAAAGAATATTTTAAAATGTTAACTTCCAGCGGTTAGATGTTAGGTTAAGATTCCGGTTAGACAACTTATCATTAGATACAATACAAATTTTAAAATTATTAACAGTTATACCTATCTTTTTGTTTTTATCATTAATTAGAAAAAATAAGTATTTTGAATTTTTATGTTAGATATATATTAGTTGTTATTTTATTTTGCAACAAATAATTTAAAATGTTTATTTTTCAATGGGTTTTAAATGGTTTAGTTATATTTTTGTGTTAAATATAATTCTATAAGTGTATTTTACGTTTACAGTTGTTGTTTTTTTGTAACAGTATTCATTTCAGGAATATTCCTTTAAAAATTTTAATTTATATTATAAAAGTTTCCATGGCATAAGCTACAAAAAGAATAAAAATGTAGCAAATAATAATACTTTTTTCTATACCTATTTTAAAAGCAATGTGAAACCATAGCTCAAGTGTTTTAACTACATGAGGTACAACCAAAATAAAAAAATAAAACAGTAATGGTAAAAATTACAATAACTGTTTATTAAAAGATGCCTCCTATCAAGGTTCAAGAAAAAATGTTAAGTTCATCAACAAGCTATCTTGTTTAGTCAGATATGCATATTAAATTAAACATCAATAATAGAAACTATAATATGCATGTTGAAACAAGTTATAAAAAGGTAATTATTAATGTCGTAAAAATACAACGGTTGAACAAAACTATTTCAACATTAAAGTTACTCAAAAACTGACGCTAAAATTTTTGAACAAAATAAATAAACTTTAATTTGAGTACGTTCATACCATACATTACAAACTATTATATGATAAAATTCAATATTTTGTTTCACTCAATCCTCATTAAAATATATTAAATTTTAAAACCAAGTACATTTGTTTTAATAATTTTGATATTACCTATCTTGTTACAAATTTTATTAATATATTATAATTGAAGAGCCCATTATTGAAAAAAAAAAAAACCAAAAAAAAACATTAAAATCGGGGGTGCTAGGAAGACCAATGGACCTTCAACTCAAAGCTAGATCAATGGTGTTTAGAAAAACATTTTTCAAATTTATGAAAAACAAAAAGTACGTAACTAAGATCATGATAAATATTGCGATTAGTGCGTTGGTTGAGTGGTGAATGAGTCGTATTTTGCCCGATTTTTTTATACCAACGCTCAAAGTCGGGGTGCTGGCATGTCTCAGCACCCCCAACTTAAAACGTTTGTAACTTTGTACAGCTTTCGGTACAAACGACGACTTTTGCGGTACAAACCAGTACAAACAGAGTACAAACGATCGCCCCGGTTTTTTTTACGAAAGTTCAAAGTGGGGGTGCAGGCATGTCTCCAGCACCCCCAACTTAAAACGTTTGTAACTTTGTACAGCTTTCGGTACAAACGACGACTTTTGCGGTACAAACCAGTACAAACAGAGTACAAACGATCGCCCCGGTTTTTTTTACGAAAGTTCAAAGTGGGGGTGCAGGCATGTCTCCAGCACCCCCAACTTAAAACGTTTGTAACTTTGTACAGCTTTCGGTACAAACGACGATTTTTGCGGTACAAACCGGTACAAACAGGGTACAAACGATCGCCCCGGTTTTTTTTACGAAAGTTCAAAGTGGGGGTGCAGGCATGTCTCCAGCACCCCCAACTTAAAACGTTTGTAACTTTGTACAGCTTTCGGTACAAACGACGACTTTTGCGGTACAAACCAGTACAAACAGAGTACAAACGATCGCCCCGAGTTTTTTTACGAAAGCTCAAAGTGGGGATGCCGGGGACATGGACCTCAACTTACACTATGATATATTATTATAATTACTCGCAAACGGTTGGTCGTCGATCCAACTCAATGCGTGTGAATCTCGTCGCACGGAATCAAAGGCCGTTTGAGACAGAGGTGCAGAGAAAACGGCTGCGACGACCGTTTATTATAATACTGACAGTCGGAAAATTTACAAAATTAAATGTGCAGGGGGGACACGCAGTTGGAACGTACGTAAAATATCGTGGTCGTCCACTCCACTTTAAACAGTAAATAATTTAATATAATAATATATTATATAGTTGGCGGTCGCCTCGGTCGTTCTCATCACTGTCAGACCGACTTGGAACTTCACTGGATTTCGACGGTTGTTTCGATGACAACACTTTCCACACACGTCGTTCGCGAATAGCGCAGTGAGATCGTATAAAACCACGGTGCTCCGCAACCGCGGTAAGCTCGGTTGTGGCGACCGCCATTCCTACCGCAACGGACCACAATTATTATTATTATCGCGTTTTATATTTCGTGTCCAAGAGTGTCGTGCACTCGTGCGTTATTGTGCAGCTCAGGGCGAAACAATTCTGCGAAACTAGTCATAAACGAGCCTCCATATCACCTCCGACACTGCAAAACGAGTCGCCCCCCTTCCGTTTCTCTAGAAATGTTTACGTACCAAGTGCGGCACTTGAAGGTAAGTTGCACGCACGCGAGTCACCTAAATTATCCTGACCTACAGGTTCCTTGCAGGAATAACGACAATACATGCATACGAGCATACGCCTCTACGACACAGAATTAAAAGTATAATAAATTAATAATAATCATACACATAATGTACGCGTATTATATAGGTTAGAAAAACCCCAGTAAGACCTTGGTGAGATTTTCCCTTGACATATTATGCAAAAGCATGAAAAATTGTTGTGCGTTATTGTCGTTTCGTATTGTTCGTATAATTGTATTTATACGTATTGTATACAAAGTCAAGTAGCCGTATTGATCGTTTATATTATAACTAAATAATATATATTTAGCGTTCTTAAATAATTTACAGTGCCTAATTGGGCAGGGTGTGAATTGAACGTGGCGAAAGACAAAAGTGACATGTCTTACGTCCGGATGCACAGTCGATTTATATGTCACACATAAGACATGTTAAACTATGTCTTATATTATGTAGTGTTATGTGACACACAAATTTACAATTCATCCGGAAAATTGGTGTTTATATATAAAAAAATTATGTTGCATATTGTATACCACTTAAGTAATTACTTTGCAGATTATAATACCGATCGAGATATTATGAAAGTGATTTTTTTTTTTCAAATTAATTATAATAAAATAATTCATTATTAATTCAAAAATATTATGTTTTACTGCATTTAAACACTGCTGTTTTTCTATTAGATAAAAAGGATTACCAAAAAAAATAAAATAAAAAAAATAGTTAACGAATAAATGAACAAATGTTTATTGTGATTCTGAGGAAAAAACGTCAGTGGGACAAGACGTGAAAAAGGGACATCAGCTGCAGCTGACCACTCGTAGCGTAGGAATAGGTGCCCTATTACAATTTAATACTGATTTAATCCGATCGATAAATCGTAATTAACATTAAATATTAATTAATTTCGGAAGTTGATTTAATATTGTAAAAAAAGGTTTTTATTTTTAATATTTTTTTTTTTTTTTTAATTGACGACTGGGCCATTAGAAGGTTTTTTTATAGCTCCCATTTCATATTTTATAATAACACGAACATTTAGTCAGGTTATATTGCAGTTTTAATAATATATATAAATATACTTTTATAGTTTTGTTTTATTTTTTGTTAGCAGAAATGTTGTTGAAATTTATTTTAAGTATAAAATAAAAAAGTTTTAACGATATTATTGTTATTATTTTTATTTTGATAGGTAGGTACCTCAATACCTGTACCGAGTACCGAGCACTGCAATAAGAACAATGGACTATTTTTCTGCTCTCAATAAAAATTATATTATGTCTGATATTATATTTACATTTGAACCCTATTCAAATTATATATTGCAAGAGAAAAAAACAAATTTCCTAATATCAATATGAAGAAAAAAAATCTAGTTTATAGTTATCATTCCAATATAGGTATAATAGGTACCTAAATGGCAACTGAGTACTGACGAGGCATTATATAAGGGTATAAGTATTAAACAATATAAAAAAATATCTTAATATTATTATTAATTGATTATAATACATTTTTTATATTGTTTAATACTTATGTCTTATACCCTTTTTCACAGTGAACATTTCAAAAGTATATACATTTATAATGGTGAAAAATGGTATAAGTCAGTTGTGAAAAAGGGCATAAGTCACAATATTTCAATATATTCAGTGCAATAGGGAATAAGTCATCTATAATTTATAAAATTAACTTTTTCATCAAAACTATATAATTTAAATTATAATAAAAATAGTTTAATTAATTTAACATACATACCATTCTTGCAAAAAAACGAGAACTAATCAGTTTTTTTCGTCTCCAAAAAAGTTGTTAAATTTGACTTTTAACCTTTTTCCCGAACGCCGTCCATATATAATCCAAACTCACCAAGCACAGCTCGTGGTGTATACACGGGCATGTCACGGGCTCGGAATTTTTTGTAATCCATATTTGTAAGAAATTGGTGTACTTAAAATGTAATTTGATAAAATGTATTTTGTGATAATATTATATAAGTTTTTATTGAAATATTTAATAAAATTGGTTAAATATTTATATAGGTTTTTATTGCGAAAATGTGACAAGAAATTTTAGCTGACGTGACAAAAATAGCACAATGTGAAATGGGTACCGATAATCATTGGACCACCGTACACCACCATTGCTAATTTTTTGAGAAAATTATTGCTTATTGATTATAAATGTATGGAAAAATATTTTAATATTTCAAAAAATCTGTTCCAAATTTGAACTGTTATTATTTATATAGTAGATACTTAAGTACTGCCTATTTAAATTCA